AGAGATAGTAAAATCAGTAGTTGGTAATTTTTTTTCATTTATGTATTGTATTTTATGCGAGCTTCATTAAATAATTAACTTGTTTGTAATAGAGAGGCCCATTTTTATTTTTCAATTGTGACTTGCGCAGTTCACGCATCAGCAGATTTTGTCTCATATTCTTCTCCACATTTACACCTTACAAATAAATTGATGTAAACAAGGCTGCGCACAAAGTAAAGTCACGCGAAGTACCTGTTTTCTCTGTTTTAGGTTTTATGAGTTCCGTTCTTAATATGGTGCGAATTTTAGAGACAGAGGTAGGATAAATTTACTTACTGTTAATAACAAAAAACCAACTACTACCGTTACCGTCACCGTTACAGCCTATTGAAATCCACTGCTGAACATAGGCCCTCATAGATTATCTCATGGGAGAAATAATTGCCACGCTTGGCTAACGGGTTGGCAACCGCGCATCTGCTGATTAGTTTCCTTCTGCCGCCTCTTACAACACCCACGATATGATACTTGAGCGTGATTTATGAGCGATTTTTTAATAAAAAAAACACAAATGTAAAAACATAAATGATACTGATTGTACTCGTACAATTATAAAGAAAGTATAGCCCATTAAATATTTAAGTATAATCATAGACCAACGATTGTCGCGGCACAACCAAATAGAGCAACTTACCGGCTGACTTAAGGTCAGTTCACACAGAGACGCGACGCAACGCGACGTCGCGAGACGCATCGTGAAGTCGTTAGCGCGGCGCAGCTAAAAGTTTTTTTTATAGGATAGGGTGACAAACGAGCACACAGTCCACCTGATGGTAAGTGGTTGCTGTGGCCCATAGACATCTACATCCTCGTTTGCGAATCAAAATGCAAATGCGTTGTCACCCGTGAGGACTAAGATGGAATGCCTCTTTTCCAGTAAAAATGGTCTCCGGTTCTCTACACTCACCATACGAAACACAGCAGTGTTAAGCTGCTATTTGACGCTGGTATCCTGTGAGAGCGTGGTTCTTCCCCGGACGAGCCGACCCATGTCTGTGTTTCTATTTCTCCATAAATCATGCACATATATACTTCTTTGTGATGTTTCCTTTTTAATTTTATTTTTATTTTGTTCTTCCTATTCCTCCTCTGCTAGGAGTCAAATTATAACAAGATCCCAGTCTATCATTATAGTTTTCACTCGCCAAGACAAGTCGCCACTGCTTCAGGCTACGCCTTTTAACACAGCTTTACGCCGCGAGGCATCTCGAGCAGCAACGAGGCGTAGCGCGACGCCGGGAGGCATTTTCGAACTATCTCAATAAAATTTTTACATATAATTTTGTGTGTGAAGTAAATGAAATTATATTTTGTATCACTATCTTAAAAACTGTTCAGCGTGTAGCGTCGCATCATGCTTCCGTGTGAAGTGTGAATTGACCCTTAGGGAGTTAATATAGATTTTTAAACAACTTTGACATGTGCTGCCACATTTCTATGAAGCCTCAAAAATATACTAATTTGAGTATACATACGTTGCGTTAATACAAAACCCAATTTCTGGAAATGAAAAATGCTCAAAGGGCATTACTAAAAGTAATGTATTTTAAATCGGATATTATATTATGTACTGAAAACTTAGATAAAATATGTGACTTACTCACAGTTTCAAAACGCACAGTAGTTAGATTTACGATTCAAATGTTTTAGAAAAAAGAAGAGCTTTATTGTAGCGCGGAAAATCAAAACAAAATGGAAATGCCCGATTCTGGCCATGAAACGCCCAACAATTTGCATTTGTTAAAAAAAATATTTTTTATCGTAATTAATCGCGCTATTTATGTATCCAAAAAAGATTGCAATATTTTTGCACAAAAAAAGTACCGAAAAGATAAAATGAAATCAGGTAAATCCGCAAGTCATTAGATTGTGGATAAAATAAAAAGTGTTGCCAATTACAAATCTCGTTTAAAAGTCGATTCTGTTTTATCAATCGATTTTTATGGTGTCATTATTATAATGGTAATATTATTTTTCGATATTTATTATGATGTTATGACAATTAAACAAGCGAATTGCTAGTTGATTTACCATGAACTCTTTAGAACATAACAAAACCGATACTGCACAATTGAACTTTTATTCTTATCTGTTCTTAAAAATGGAATTTAAATAAATTAAACAAAACATGTTTTAAAAGGCGTGCAGAACTTAAAGCGAATCAAAGATTATTCTTTTTTATGAAATTATAAATGGAATAAAAAAATCGCTATCTATTTATCGATTTTATGTCTGTTAATTGGCAACATCGAATCTGACAGCTAGGCCCATGTCATAATTATCAAAACTATCACAATTCGAATTTCTTTGCATTTGTGTTATTTTGTTTGTTTTCTCGCGGATTTGTTATCTAAGCAACGAATAAGCTTTCTAAATGGACTCCGATAATTCTTCTCACCCTATTGACCACGGCCTGAAAATGGATCCCGCTCCAACTTCTTACGATAACCTCTGCACAAACTTGGACTCGATATCCACTGCTAACGATTACCTAGTAACTTATTCAAGAGGACATTTACGCTGTGTCAATTGTGGTTTAAATATCACGAAAATACGAAGTCATTTGTTGTTAAAAAACTGTTCTTGTGAAAATAAAAACCTTTATATCTTAAAAATCCGAACTTTTTTTTAAACCAATCCCTAACCATTTCATTCTTTTAATTGTATATTATCATTTTCATATGCTTTTATACGTCGGCACTCATGGCCAGTGTCTATGAACGGTGGGCATTCCCCTTTACTACTCATAAATATCATTAGATTTTTATATAGACAAAAAAATAAATAAAAAAGTTAACATATTACAATGAAGAATTACAATTGTAAACAGTTATTGGCAAAATAGTTCAAAATATTGTGGTATTCCCAGTTTAGCAAGTAGCTAAGAAAATTCAATAAACTCTAACTGGTAAGACCACTGAGGAAGAAAATTCTCGGTAGTCCACGGACCACGGACTACACTGCACGCTACGATCCTAAACACCTTTCTAGCTTCTTTCGCATCAATATAATCAACGCATACACGCTTGTCGGTTAACGGTACTCTAGTAATTTATATATACTTATATAAATTTTCAAGTGGCAGTAGGATAGTTATAGTTTTTATATTTTGTACACTAATACTACTTATATTGACTTTTATTCGCCTGACACTCCTGAGACAAAAATATACAAATAGAGCGTTCCACTGAGCTTGTGCATATAATCGAGCACTAAAATTCTGTCCTGCGCAAATCTCCGATGGGACTGGCCGCCGTGCCCTAAATTTGTTCTGGAGAACCATGCCACTGCCTCTTTCTCGTTTATGCTTGCCTAGTACTATTCCTAATAATCTTAGATTATGAAATTATTCAAAGATTTGAACGCATATATAAATAGTACCTTCAAAGTTAATTTTCAACTAACAGTATTTCGTTAATATTTTTGTACAGTACGGAAAATGTTATTTTTAAAGTGTTTGGCTTTATTCTTAAACACCAAATATTTTATTTTCTTTGTAATTATAAAAATGCAAATTAAAGGGCGAGCCGTAAGCCGAGAGGTTAAGCTTACAGGGGTTCTACTCGCGGTTCGTCGCTCCTATTACACTAGCGAGCGAAACAGTTACATTAATTTTTTTTTATTAAAAAAAAAACATTAATTAGATTTTGTTAAAGAAATGTGCCAAATTTCATACAATAATATACATTAAATAACGCTGGCGAACTGCGGGCCTGGCTCGTCGGCTCATAAAACTGCGGTTTTGTGATGATCCACCAACGGGCTTTCCCAGCAAGCCGCCAAAAACGCAATAATGCTCGGTCGTCTGTCAGGACTTTTAAGTAAAACTTTTAATATAGTTATCATATGACCAAGTCCTTGAAACTTATTTTAAAATTCATTGTTAATTATAGTAACACATCCATCTTTTGTTGTAGTTTTTGGACAAGACAACAATTACACGTGGTAGAGCCACGCTGCAGCTATATTATGGTTGTGGCACGAATTGGTCGGCTCGACCGGGGTAGGACCACGCTCTCACAGAATACCAGCTTAATGCTAATGAAATATAATGAAGTAAGCTCCATTACGTCAATAATTTCTTGTCCAAATTATTCATCACGTAATTCTGGGACCGAGCCACAGAACTGGGAGTCGTTAGCGGCCTCAGTCATTGATTCTATAAGACGTATTAATTTATTTACGTGGTAAAGGCTGCTATCACGAATAGGTCGGCTCGACCGGGGTAGGACCACGCTCTCACAGAATACCAGCGTAAAATAACAGCTTAACATTGCTGTGTTTCGTATGGTGAGTGTAAAGAACCGGAGACCCTATTTACTGGAAGTGAGACCTTCCATCTTAGTCCTCAAGTGTGACGATGCATCTACATTTTAATTCTTTATTGAGGATAGATGTAGATGTCTATGGATCACAGCATCCACTTACCATCAGGTGGACTGTGTGCTCGTTTGTCACCCTTATTCTATAACGAAAAATTTGCATTAAAATTTATATTTTGTAACATAATCTATTTGTACGTCTACTATAGAAATACGTAACTTTATTTTTGTCTCTCCTATCATGGGGGTTTTGGTAAGAACTTGACCGCCAGTGAAAATTTTAATTTAAAACGTGATCTGTACTTAGGGCATTTGGGAAAAGGTAGAATGTTTAATAAAACTGGAACAGAGTACCTTGAGTCTTTGTCCAACAAAGTAATATAGATAGGAAAAAAAATTTCATAATTAAAATCAAATTTATTATAAATACAATACAATACAAATGAACTCTACGCAAACATCTTCGCAATTCACTAAAACATTAATTTAGCATCTGCCTGTTTGCGTCACGATCAGACGTGTTGATTAAATACAATCATTGAAAAATCTATGTATTAGTTAAATAAAAGTATTTTGTATATAATCAAAATCGACTACTAAACACCTAAATCATTCCAAAAATGAAGTTGACAATAATCAGTTATTCGCAGGTTCTATTTCGTGCACCGACTCGATGTCAGCCTTGCAGAAGAAACACTGCTTACTGTTCAGAAGATGCTGCATTATGCACGGCCTGCAATTAGTGCAAAAATACGTATAATCTTCTACGTCGTCAATTGAATAATTGATATTTTATTTTAAACCTTACCCCACACAAGAATCTCTCCTGTATCTTGGAAGAGTTTTACATAATGCGCACATGGACAAACAAACAAACAACTTGCAAATGGACAAATCAAGATTCCGGCCAATTATTTGTAGGACACTTATTCTGTACAGGATCCGAACCCATGGCTCTATAGCAGCGCAACCAAACAATGAACTACTGAACTACAGAGCCAACAAATGCATTTGACGGATTGTAATCTATCTGTGAGATCGATCGCCCTGGGAGTGTAACAAAATGGATACCATAAATTTTCTTTATCTATATAAAATTGCGGTTGCAAACCCACCTACCAAGTCTGGCAACTATGTCAAAATCAGCAGTGGACTTTTATAGTCTGTAATAGAAGGGAATGGAATATCTATAAAAATAAATAAAATTGAAGTGTCTGTTTGTAATGTCAAAATAACACATTTTAACTAAATGCATATGAAAGTGTATACAGTACTTATAACAAACACAATTCACAAAAACAATCTCTGTGTCTGTTTGTTCCGGGTAATCTCCGAAACGGCTCGACCGATTTTGACAGAACTTTCACTAACAGCTAATGTTATAAGGAGTAAATTAGGCTACTTTTATTTTAGAAAAGGAATTAGGGTTTCGCGCAAAAAAATTAAAACCCACAAAATCCAATCGTAATAATTTCCACGCGGGGACAGTTAGTTATTAGATAAATTACAACCAAACAAAAATTGGGATTATAATCCGAATCGGTGAAGCCGTTTAGGAGGAGAAGAATAACGAAAACACGCACACGAATATTTTATATAAATAAAGATAATGGAATAGAATGGAATATTATTATAATTAATAGAATCAGGCGTTACTTTGCGGAAATCCATTATATAAATGCTTCACACGAGGCATCCTCAGGCACCTGAGGATGCCTCGTGTAGAGGCGAAACACGTGTCGTATTATCGTCAGTGGTGTGTCTTGCCTAGTGTAGTGGTGTTGGAAGTAGCGGTGCTGGGATTAGTGGTGACGGGGTTAGTGCACGCAATTGAGGGAGGGCGGGAGGTGCTTCTTCATACTAGGTAAGACACATCATTTTATTTTATAACGCGGATATTTGCGAAGTAAATTTTTGTAAAAGCATTTATATTTTGGAATATTATTAGATAAACTAGCTGTTCCCCGCGACTTCGCCCGTATGTAATTTAGTATTTTAATTATGTTGCAAAAGAAAAAGAATTAGGGCTCCGTAATCCTTTTTTCTAAAATATAAGTAGCCTAAGTTACTCCTTATAACATCAGCTATCTAAAAGTGAAAGTCCCGTCAGATTCGGTCCAGGCCGTTCCGGAGATTAGCCGGAACAAACAGACAGACAGACAGACAAAAATTTAAAAAATTGTGTTTTTTTATAAGAACCGTATACACTTCCATATGCATTTAGTAAAAACCTGGTATTTTGACATTACAAACAGACACTTCAATTTTATTGTCTACTGTTATGCCTGTTGGATGGTACGAGTATAGACTGGTTTGTGACATGGGGATAGGTTGAGTTAATTTAAATTAAATCCTTGCTACAAGAAATTTGAAATAAAAGGTATTTAACAGATCTCTTGCTTTCGTGCTATGTCTCAAACCTCTACGTATCGATTTTAAAAAAGACAACTGCAGCTCGGATTGAATTGCACTTATGAAAAATTGACGAAAGGATAATCAAATACTGTACTGGATTGTACTGGTTCTCTGTGGCGGCAGATAAAGGTAAGAATGTGGTACCTACCCAGGCGGATTCATTAGCAAATAATTTAAAATTAAAATTTTGTACAACCGACTTTAATATAAATTATTAAGAATAGCTAAAAAAGCTATTGGCCAAACCTTGATCAAATTTATATGGGACCACATGAGACGTACCAGTTATCAAATAAAAAAAGAATCATCCAAATAGGTTCACCCAGAAAAAAAGTTATAAGGTAACACACATAAAAAAACATACAGTCGAATTGAGTACCGTCTCTCCATTTTGAAGTCGGTAATTACTAATTACTTAAATACCTGCTAATTTTTAGTGATGAAAGCATATTCAGCACATACCTTATAACAATGCCATACTTAAAAGTGATATATAAAATATTTCTTATTATTGTTATTATTTTAACCGGCTTCCCTTAACCAGACAAGTGCGAGTCGGACTCGCACTTGGCCTACCGACTACCATCGTAATACACATTTCTAGTAGGAGAGTCCCCCTACTAGAAATGTGTATTACTATTTTAATTTTTAATTTATTTTAATTTATGTTATTTGTTGTTATAGCGACAACAGAACCTAGTAATAGGGTCCCATTGGTTACCCTTTGGGAACGGAACCCTAAAAAGGAGGAGGTTCTATATTTGTCGCGTGTGTGTGTTTTATGTATGTACATATTATGTTTAACTAATTCTCAGAAAAAGCTGAACAGATTTTAATTATTCTTTCTTTATTAAATGTGTTAAGCGTCGAGGATTTAAAGGCTTGCTTAAATTTTTAATCTTAAAATATTGTAAAACAAAATAATCACCTAACTAAGAAAATACCAATTAATCAGTTAACCTCCTGATTTATAACGTTAACTAAAATTCTCTTGACGTCGTGTTAAAATCAATTACTTACCGACAAGAGTGATGTCCACAAGGCACAAACGCAGTGTCCGCAGGTCTTGCATAGCAGATAGTGCACAGCAGCTCAGACTGCGTCCCGCTAGAGCCGGGCGAGTTGACTTTTACCACGGCTTCACGCGCCACCCGTAAACGAATGACGACGGCCTCGAGAGCCTTCAGTTCGTCTGATGTGACATCGTCAGGATCTGAGGGGATGTTGAGTAAATTGGTGAGTTGCCTTTCTGTCTTCTTTTTTTCTATCTAATCAATTTATTATATTTTCATTCACCGCTAGATTCTGGCTGCTTTTTACAAGGCCAACTGGCAACTAGAAACATTTGCCCAATCTCACCACGCTGGAGAGGCGGTCAGTGGGCGCAGAGTTGAAAGCCTTGCACTAATAATGCCGCTTTCTTTAGTTTGTATGTGGAATTTGAATGTGACGTTTTAAATGGAAGAATAAATATATGTCACGGTGATGTAGAGCCATCGCTAATGCCTTAAGAGGTCCAACAGATAGTAAAAAAGGTGCTAATAATATTTTTTTAAATAAATATGTAATTATGTGATAGTTATTTTTAATTAAAAAAAACAGTTTTTTCGATTTTGATCCGATTTATGGTTTTTGTAATAAATTCAAATTTTTTTCATTTACAAGCATTTTATTGGTCTCGCGTCTAACGTCAGGCGAGTAGCACGCGTTCACGCGCATTGTTAAGTGTTTACGTATAGATTGCTGTTCATTGTTTACTCACACGTGTAGGTAGGGCCGCGCGGCCTGCTTCCGCGCAGGCTTACCCGTAGCACTTGCGAGTATAAACGAAAATGACGGACGAAAATGAAGAATTTAACAATAATATTATATATAACCAAGACGATATTACAGAATTAGAAGTGGAAGAGCGGGATAGTATTGATATAAATACGCCTAGGATTATAAAAAGAATCAGAGAAACGGAGGAGAGTGACAAGGAGTGGAGTATTGTGAAGGGAAAGGGGAAGAAAAAACGACTGCTCGAGGATGAGAACTTACGTAGAGAAACGGATATCGAGGTATATATAACATGCATTGAAAAGCTGCCCAAGCAATTTGCTTTGGCACGGTTATTCAAAGAAAACGGAATTACTGATATAATTAGAGTTAAATATTTAAATCCTTTTAAAGTAAGGTTGCAATTGCCGAACGAGGAAAGCGTTAAGAAATTAAGTACCTGTGCGACATTTATTTCTATGGGATGGAGAATTCAAAAGGCAATGGAGGTTAACTACTCTTATGGAATTATAAGAGACGTGGAGTTAGAAATATCTGAAGAAGAAATTATGAAAAATATATCTTGCTCAGATTCTACAGAATTAATATACGTAAAAAGGCTTAAGCGACGAAGTAACACGAAACAGGAAGGTTGGTGTCCAAGTGAAACCATACGGCTTTGTTTCAAAGGGTCTTCCCTACCTTCATACGTATATATTTTCGATATGAAAATAATTGTTCAGCCTTATGTATATCCTGTTACACAATGCTCACAATGTTGGAGGTTGGGTCACATTCGCAAGTTATGCCCATTCAAGAAAACAATCTGCCCCAAGTGTGGGGGGGGACACGAGAATTGTGATACCAAAACATTCAAATGTATCAATTGCTCTGGTGCTCACATGGCTTTAGCTAGGTCTTGCCCTGCTTATCTTAAAGAAAGGAAGTTGCGAGAACTAATGGCCGAGTTCAATTGCACATACAGGAGGGCTCTAACAATATATGTTGCGCCAACACCACAGAGAGATATGGACGTAAAACTTACAGGACATAATAACATCCAGCAGGAGATGTATAATTATAACACACCGAAGAGGGAAGCGGCTACAACCCAGAATGTTCCTACTTTTGCAGATGTGACAGCCAATGTTATTGTGCATAACGAAGATAATATTAGTCAATGTGAAAGTAATGTATCTTCGTCCCGCCGACACCAAACAAAAAAGGAGAAAAGAAATACAGAGCGTGACACGTCATTACAAAGTAATAGATTTGAACCTAATACTAGCTATAGTGAGGAAAATAACAACAAATCTTCTGGTAAAATATCTTTTAGTGAGCTACTTGTGAGGTTAAAGGAAGTAATATTTTTTAATAATTTTAGTTTGCAAGAGAAAGTTTACAAAGTGATAAAATTAGGTGTTGAGTGGTTAATTTTGGTAACTGTAGACAATATCTCGGAATGGCCAATGTTGAAAACTGTTTTAAACTTATTTAATGGATAGAAACCTTAAATATAATACAGTAAACCTTAATATCTTACAGTGGAATGCTCAAAGTGTTAAGCCTAAACTAATGTCTTTAGAGCCTTTGTTAACTCAGGAAAAAATACATATCGTAGCATTAAGCGAAACATGGTTAAATTCTGAAACTTATATTAAAATCAAAGATTATAATATTTACCGTAATGATAGAAATGACTCTTATGGGGGTGTTGCTGTTTTAGCACACAAATCTATTAAAGCGGTTAGGGGACATTTGCAATTAAGTAATGATGGCATAGAAGCTATTTACGTAATAATTTTTAACTGTCAGGATTTAGAAAATATTGTTTCTATTTATTGTCCATCGTCGGTGCGTACCTGCCAAAGAGATTGGGATGAATTATTTTCGACATTTAGTTGTAAAACCTTGATCATTGGGGATTTCAACGCTCATCACTCAAGCTGGTCGTACAAGACTGATAACAGAGGTTCACAAATATTTGATGCTCTTTTAGATGCTAACTTTGCGGTATTAAATAATGGAGAAAGCACTCGAATTAGAGTTGTGAATGGAGTCTTACAAGCGTCATCCCCTGATTTATCGCTCATTACGTCTGATATCGTCTATAAATTTAATTGGAAGGTACTTCGAGAGACTTTAGGTAGTGATCATCTTATGATTAAAATATCAGCTCTATATCAAAAGCGGTTAGCGTATGATCTTAAAAGAAATTTTAAAAAAGCAAATTGGGACGGATACATGAATACTCTTGAAAAACTTTTTCACCAATTCCCAATATATACTACTGACCTTCAAAAATGTTACAATATATTTTTAGAATATTTGAATTTAGCAGCTGACATTCATATCCCTTTTATTAAAATAAATCAAAACCCAGAGTCTAAATTTGTACCTAAGCCTTACTGGGATGTAGAAATATCGAAGTCAGTAGCCATTCGTAGACAAGCACTGGCCAGGTTTAGACGTAACTCAACACCTCAGAATTTAGCTATACTCCAAGACAAAATTAGAGACACACAGAGATTAATTCGTCAGGCTAAATTACGTAATTGGGAGAGGTTTTGTAATTCGTTAAATGAAACAACAACTATTAGGGATATGTGGCAAAAGATGAGATGGATGAAAGGTTTTAGATCACATAATAGCCACCATATAGATAGAGAAAAAGCGGAAATACTTCTTCGCAGTCTAACGCCAGATTTTGCTTCACCAGAACCGGCTAGTTTTAGTTCTAGTAACATGTTACTAGAGGAAGAGGTCTCAATTCAGGAGCTTGATACATGTATTAAATTAAAGGATACATCTCCTGGATGCGATGGCATAGCGTATTCAATGTTGAAACACCTTCCATTTAATGGCAAATGCATTTTAATCAAGCTGTATAATGCTTTTCTCGAAAACAGTTTCATACCATCACAATGGAGAGATATTGGTATTATAGCGATCCCAAAGCCAGGAAGAGACATTAATGATGTATCGTCCTTGCGCCCGATATCACTTATGTCTTGCTTATGCAAAATCTTTCATTTAATTATTAAAGGGAGACTAGAGTGGTTTCTGGAAAAAAACAAAGTCTTTTCTCCTAATACGTTCGGTTTTAGGAGAACCCGATCCTGCTTAGATAGTCTTAGTAGTTTGGTATCAAGGATACAAATAGGTTTTACAGAGAGTCAGTCCACGATAGGATGCTTCTTAGATTTAGACAATGCGTATAATAATGTTGACATAAATGCATTACTGCACACCTTAGATCAACTTAATGTAGGAACTAAAATTTGTCAATATCTTAGTAGTTTCCTTAATGAACGACATCTTAAAATATATGTGGATAACATGTGTATCAGTAGATTTACAGGGCGAGGTCTAGCCCAAGGAGATCCGTTATCTCCTCTTTTGTTTAATGTAGCTACTCTTAATATATGTAAAACTGTGAAGAACGTTTATATCTCTCAATATGCGGATGATTTTGTTATATATAAGAATTGTGATAGTATCAGTAACGGAGTTATTGATATACAGTTAGCTCTGAATACTCTTAATAGTTTATTTTTCGAGTTAGGACTAGAAATATCTTCATCAAAGAGTAAAGTATGCATATTTATGAATGGACGCGTAAAAGAACACCTAAATATAACGGTTAACAAAAGAAGCCTTAAAATCGTTGAAAGCATTAAATATTTAGGGTTATGGTTAGATCGATCTCTTCGATGGGCCAAGCACATAAACGAAATAAAAGAGAAAGCCCTTAAGTTTGTAAATATTTTAAAAGTTTTAACAGGACCAGGGTGGGGAGTACATCCAGTTCAGTTGCGTCGCTTATATATAGCTATTATACGTAGTAGATTGGATTATGCTAGCTTTTTATTTGATAATAGCCACAAAACACATTTAACAAAACTAGACATAATACAAAATCAGTGTATGCGGATAATTGGTGGGTTTGTCAAGAGTACTCCTATCCATGTAATGGAATCGGAACTGCTTTTACAGCCATTGTTTATTCGAAGAAGATATTTAGCAGGTAAATTTTGGTTAAAGTGTAAGTCTATTGATGAAAATATTGTTACAAATTTATTATGTATCCTTGATGAACGTAAAGAAAGCTTCTATTGGCGACGTAGGAAAACCCCACTGCTAGTTACAACCCATAGATTATTTAAAGAAACTCGTATATTTTCAAGTCCTTACTTAGAAATGTTTTCACTCAATTCGTGGATTAGCAAGTTGGATATATCTGATTCTATAAACCCTCAAATAGAATTTGTTAACGCACCTAAACATAAGTACAATCCCCTTTACTTACAAACTTTATGTCGAAAACATTTAACTGAAAACTTTACAAATTACTATAAAATATATACCGATGGCTCTAAAGATAAAGAAGGAACGGGTGCTGCATTTTTAGACATTCAAACCAAAGAATACATTAAGCTTTGCTTAGGTAAGGAAATTTCAGTTATGCATGCGGAACTCATTGCAATTGCGGAAGCCTTATCTTATGTCAAGTCACTTAAATATGATAAATTGTTGATATTAACTGATTCTCGCAGTGCCCTTCAACATTTAAAAAGATGTACTTTACTGTGTCGCGGTTTTCCATTGGCTTACGACATATTAAGTAATATTTTAACATTAAAATCGAACCATAAAAGGATAGTCTTACAATGGGTGCCTTCCCATATTGGTTTAGAGGGAAATGAGGCGGTAGACATTCTTGCTAAAGAGGCGATAAGTGATGGGGATAATTTCGATTGTGTTCCTTATTTCTCCGAACTCTTATCTAAAGTCCGAGAAAACTGTACAGAAAAGTGGTCCGAATACTTTGATGAAAGGTCACTGTCAAAAGGTATTTGGTACAAGACGATACAACCGCATCTTTCCCGCTTCCTTTGGTTTGAAGGATGCAATATGGGAAGGCAAGACATTATTACAGCAATGAGGCTTCGTTCTGGACATATTCCATTAAACAAATTTGCGTTTATGATGAAAAAAGTGAATTCACCAAATTGTGTCAAATGTGGAGTTCTGGAAGATACTATCCATATTATGATGGAATGTGAACGGAACGAAGCATGTAGAAAACTATTAGGTTTTGACAAAAATAGTGTTGGATTGTGTAATAGTATTTTAGCTTTTCCATTGTCGGATAAGGCTAGAAAACTATATAAACTAGTATTGGTAGGTATTAAGAACAGATAATTTTTTATTATTGTTTACGTGAATTTATCATTGTTGATTATATGTATTTGATTGTGTACTTATGAGGGTGACATGATCTAATAGATCAAACCCTCTATAATAAATAGATTTAAAAAAAAAAAAAAAGCATTTTATTAAATGAAACAATAAAAATGTGTATTGAATTATGCTTCTAATAACATCTTAGATGAGACTCCGGGTACTGGCGGCTTAAGAGAGTCCAATACCCCGGTATCATCCTTTAGGTCTCATAAGAGGCGAGACAGGGAGATGCTATGGAAAATACTCCCCCCCTCCCTCTCCTTTTTTAAGAAAATCTACGGAGGAGATCACGTTCATCAGTCGACTTTTGATAGGCATGTAATGAAGACACAAAACACATACTCTCATATTACCCTTGTACCTTTTATTGCCTTTCCTTAGACTTTATTGAATAGTATAATCGGATAACAGCAATCCTAAAAATGGCAGATTCATTTTTTTTGTTTTTTATAGGATCGGGTGACAAAAGAGCACACAGTCCACCTGATGGTAAGTGGTTACTGTGTCCCATAGACATCTACATCTATCCTCAATAACGACTCAAGATGCAGATGCGTTGTCACCCGTGAGGACTAAGATGGAATGCCTCTTTGCCAGTAAAAAGGGTCTCTGGTTCTCTACACTCACCATACGAAACACAGCAGCGTTAAGCTGCTATTTTACGCTGGTTTTCTCCGAGATCGTGGTCCCTCCCCGGTCGAGCCGACCCATTCGTGCTATAACAATAATATAGCTGCAGCATGGCTCTACCACGTAGAGATTCATATGTGAGTAAGGATAAAAGTAAAGTTAAGAAACATAACTAGATACGACCCACAGCTGGGGAAAGGTCTCTTGGCAATCTAAAAGGATTTTAAGACAATAAAGAGTGCACCGCGCTGCCTTAATATGTGTCAGCGGATTACTCATATTCTGGATTTTTTTTTATCAAACTAAAGTGCCGTGGTAGCTCAGATGGTTAGCGCTCGCGGTAAATTCCACAGTACGCGAGCAGCTCGGGTTCGATCCCCGCCGGCACCAACGAAATTGTTAATTGCAATTTTAAGTGGTGATTTACCTCGTGCTCGGCGGTGAAGGAATACATCGTGAGGAAACTTAAATAAAAAAATATTTCGAAGACATGTTGTGAAGTTCGCCAACACGCAATGGGGCAGCGCGACGTACACTTCTATGCCCTTGAAGCCTTTCAGAAATGAGAGGAGGCCTGTACCCCAGCAGGGGCGTATATAGGCTGTAACTTTAACTTTTTTTAAACTAAAGTGACAAACCTGCTAGCAGTACGTTTTTTAAAATAAGAGAAAAAAAGAGAAGAGGACAGTACACCTGATGGTAAGTGACCACTGCAGTCCAAGGACTTCACAACAACAGCCGACTTCAAACAAAGAAGGCTTGACATGCATTGTCACCTCTGAAAGATAGAATGCCCGTCCCGGCTTGTAAATATACTGGTTCTGTATACCCTTCATACCGAAACACAACAGTGCACTGTTGGTTGATGGCAGAAAAGTGGTAAGAAAGTGGTATCTACCCAGATGAACTCCTAGACAATAAGAAATCTTACCACTTAGTTTTTTTTTAAATTGCTGTCACAACAAATTACCATAGACATTTTCCTTCACCGTCGGTAAAATTAACAATTTCATTACTATACTGACAATAATGAAACTCGTTATCCTCACATGCTATGAAGTTTTAAAACAAGTTACTGAGATCGCAAATCTAGCGACATGGCAAGTCATCGGAATAGGTATGTAAACAGCAATGAATTAATTAAAGGTTCAGGAACGTGGTGAGGAAATCAAATGGATATACTTACAGTCATAAAATGAGAAATGTTTATCTTTAGACCTTCCCAACATGAACTCAAGTCCGTCAATGCGGAATAAAGGCTCGTTCACAATCGCTTTGGTTGCTTTTTTTAAATGCTAAAAGGAAACAATAAATCTAAATAATATCGTTTAAAACTTATACGTTGTTTTAATAAATAAAATTCTACGGCGCAAATCGTCTTGATTACTTCAAAACTTACTATTAAATAAATTTCAATTAAGTAAATATTTAAAAAATAAATTCAAACAATAGACATTGTTCAAATCTTCCGCTCACCAGATGTCATGTTACACAATGTCGTTTAATTGGGAAGTTAGTTTTAAATTAATAAAAGTTTATCACTTTCTAGAGTATTATATTAATACACAAAACAATTCCTCAGTGCTTTTTTTTAATTTTTCTACTTTTAATCTGTTTTCAACCGATTTCAAAAAGGAGAAGGTTTACAATTCGTCAGAATCTTAATTTTTTTATGTATGTTCACCGATTACTCAAAGATGCCTGAACCGATTTTTTTTTGAAAGGTGATACTTCCCAGGTTAAATCTTATCGAAATCGGTCAAGCGGTTTTTAAAAAATCAACAATAAATTACATTTATATTGAAGTCGGTTGTGCAACATTTTTAATTTTACCTCTTCTATACAGTGTATTTATTTTTAACCTAATTATTAATTAATTAATATAAAGTAGAACTAATAATACAGAAATGAACATTAACCTTTACATTTTTCGAAAAAAGCAACTTCCCCGCTATGAAATCTGTCAAATATTACACCTAATTTTTAAGTGGCTTCGCCCTTGTGGCAGAAAGATGGAGGTCCTCATTGGTACAGCCATTCCAAACAATAGCAGAAGATTGGACACACAGACAGACAGATTCTTTAAATGGTTATTAATGACGTATCGTGCACAAGCGCAATACATACGTCACGAGCATGTCTACTACGCTTCACTACACGTCCTATAACGGCATATATACATGTATACGCATATATTATTTAATTTTCACTTCTGTCGGCAGTCCTAATGGCTGCCATTGTTTTATTTATTTATAGTCTTTATTGCCAACAATTTTTTACAAACATTTTTAAATGAATAATACAACATTATATAAATCATTAACGGGTGACAGCGTGTATTTCGACACAAAGGCCTTTTCCGACATATTCCACTCTTCTCTTATTTTATTTTTTATTCTTTCTAATTTTTTTTATTTCATCGGACCATCGTTTCCTTTGCCTTCATCTTTTTCCTTCTTATTCCATACGATACGACAAAGAGAAACTGAAACAGATAAGTAGCAGATGCTGCTGCCTATCTGTTCCTAATAACAATTCAAAATAATAAAAAGCTACCGTTGCCAACCAGCCTGCCAAGCGTGTCAACTATGGAAAATTATCGTCAAAGATGGGAGATGCCCATGTTCAGCTGTGGATATTGATAGGCTTCAATTATGAGGCTGTAATGGCAGGCATTTTTGATGATACTACCATCCAGGACGCAAAATAGTTTAAATAAAAATATGCATATTACCAATGCTACTCACATCAGCAGAGAGATCAGGGTCCAGCATTCTGACTAGGCAGCCGGCTACCGGCGCTAATGCGACGTAGTAGTGGACGCGGTCTGTATCAGGCAAGCCCCTGGCTACCAGCCGCGCAAACCCAGCTCCGCCGCCCACTCGAACGCAGACACGTGATATCACAGCCATTAGAATCTAATCGAAAAAGTACAGCAAAATTTAATAGACTTTTTGAATCAAATAATATTTTTTATATAATAAGGGTGATAAACAAGCACACAGTCAACTTGAAGGTATGTAGATGCTGTGAACCAAAGACATCTACATCCATACTGCATAAGGAATCAAATAGCAAATGCGTTGTCACCCCTGAGGACTAAGGTAGAATGCCTCGTTTCCAGTAAAATGGTCTCAATGTGTCTACACTCACCATACGAAACACAGCAGCATTAACCTGTTATTTTACGCTGGTAAGATATTCTGTAAGAGCGTGACGACCCATTCATGCTACAATCATAATATAGCTGCAGCATGACTCTACTATATATTATACTACTACTATATGTTTATATTAATGGAAAACATTAATTGTCTTATTACAACAAGCGGTAAAAAATAACTTTTTATACAACTAACTTCAACATAAATAAAAAAATCATCAATGTAGTCGAAGTCAATTAAATACGCATTATTAAGGGTACGAGTAACTTAAAAACTACTGATTATATCTTGATCAAATTGGGACCAAATGAGAAGCATCACCTTTTAAACAAAAAAAGAATCATCAAAATCGGTTCACCTAGAAAAAAATTCCGAGGATCTGAGGTAACACACATTAAAAAAATACAGTCGAATTGAGAACCTCCTTTTGTTTTTTTGAAGTCCGTTGAAAAGTAGTTTATAATTAGTCCGATCTTAAAGTCTGCTTCACTAAAGAAGTCCCGCGGAAATATGCGAATTACAATGTAAAGTATGGAATTTGCCAAGAAATGTTTAATTTCTTGAAGACTGCCACAGTGTTACAATTGCCGCGGATAAGACATCTTTTGTGAGAAAGACTCTTCTTAAATTATCAATAAACTACGTTTTGTAACAATATGGTTACAGTCTTACTGCTAAGAAATTAATAATGTCTAATAGAATAAGACCGCTAACGACCCACAATTCTGCGGTACGATCACCAGAATGAAACGATGAACCATTTGAACAAGAAATTGTTGATGTAATGCGGATGGCTTCATTATATTCTGCACTCAGCAGAATTAATAAACTTGGCAGTGTTACAAATAACAGATTGAAGTCGATTAACCTAGTTCATGTTTTTTATTTACGAATTTTTTTTTTATAGGAGAGGGGGCAAACGAGCATACGGCTCACCTGATGATAAGTGATTACTACCGCCCAATTAATAGCAATTAATGTTACCGGTTTGCAACATGTCATTGATATGCAGAAGAAATAGCGTTTTCGATAGCAGGCAACCTTGTGGTACACCGGCTTTAATGGGCTTGTAATCGGAGCATGCACCGTCTACTCCGATCTGCAAGAAAACTGGTGATCCAATTGCACAATTTCTCGGGAAGCCCATAGAAAGGAAGCTACGTAAGAAGCGCTTTGTGCCATAACTTATCGAAGGCCTCGGCTAACTAACAGCCAATGCCTTCCGCTTGGACTCTACTTCCTCCGCCCCGTAGGAGTACCGGAAAAGATGCGTTAAAACCGGTGCCAACTCTGAAGCAAGGGTCTTCAGCACAATAGGATCATCAGGCCCACTCGACTTTTTGACGTCCAGGGAAAGGAGTGCTCTGGGCACCGAGCGTTAGGTAAACAGCACATCCTGCATAGAGCACTCACACCTAGGGGTGATCAGCGGTGTGTTGCCCCCGTCATCAAGAGTTGAGTTGGATGCAAAGAGAGAGCCCAGCAGATCGGCTTTGTCCTTAGCTGCACGGGCCAGTGAGTCGTGCTACCTGTGCAGAGATAGGAGAGATGGCTGACAGAAGTTCCCTTGGACAGCCTTGGCGAGAGACCAGATTGCACGTGTTCCCGAAGGAAGACGAACTACAGCTACTTGACAACTTGACACTTTTGAACAACCTGGAGGTGGAATTGTACTTCTTTTTAAGAGCGCTGGTATTTGCATCCCAAGACATCGATGCGTGAGCCCAGGCCTAGTAGCACTCTTGCTTATGGCATAATGCAATTTTGCAGGAGCGACCAAAACATTGCTGGGTTCTGCCTCCGATAAATACCACAGATGATGGAATAAAAAATTCCATTCCCTGTAGCACCACATCAGCGATAGAATCAGCAACAACGCTGGGATCATCCGGCGAGAAGCAAACCCGCCTCCAAGGATAGGATACAAAAAAAGACCGCTCGATCCGACCGAAAGATATCCGTCCGGATGAGAGGTCAACAAAAGGTCCAACAGCGAAGGTACATGATCTTCCACATCTGGTATCCGCATAGGCGAGAAAACAGATCTACCCGCATGATCGGTTAAGCGGGAACCAAGCCATTCAGCGTGGTGGGCGTTGAAATCACCAAGCATCACGATCTCTTCCACTCTGCTTACGATACCATGGTGGCTCTACTATTGGTAAAATAAAACCCGAAAATTTTATTGCGACATAAGTTGGAAATTTAAAACTTAAACTTTTAATACAAAGTAATTCTTATCCACGCCAGTAATTCTTATCATGTATTAGCATTCATATCATGTATTAGCACCCATTTCGGAAGTTATCATGTGAAAATTATTTTATTCTGTTTAGTCCTTTGAAATCAGTTTTTAATCTCAAGTTTATATCAAGAACGACGTCTTAACGAGTTACGTCAAAAACTTATTTCCTATTTTACTATTTTTAGGGGTAGAACTTTTTCTTCAAATTAACAAACATATCATTTAACATACATACATACAACTAAACATAAAATCGAATTGAGAACCCCTACCACTCTTTTTGACGTCAGCTATAAACTATAACATTAAACTATATTAAATATTGCTGATAACGCATATTTTATAGTAAACGAGTAAAATACCAAATAAACAGAAAAGCATCGTCTCTCTACTCTAACTAGTAATTAAGTTTTTAAATGTTAAATCACCTGACAAGTCCGTCCAAGTAGCAGTTCGTTTTGGTTATCGCTGGTCTCAGGTTTTGTAAGCAAAGTAGGCGCCAAATAGAGAGTCATCTCCAGTGCTCGTGCCAACCCGTGGTAAAGGTCAAAGCAAGTCGCACATAACTTAATCTGACGAGGTTCTAGATGAGCATCGATGTTCACTCTGTCCATCTAAAAATATAACCACTTTGTATCTATTTTTACATGGATAATTACACTATAGCATATTACAGCTTAAGCACAAATATGTAGCTCGGCTTGACCAAGGAAGAACTACGAGGGCTTTTCACTTCATCACCTGAAGAAGCTGTGGACGCCTACAGAACGGCCATTTTGGAGACCCCAACTTCCGAATGGAATGATTGCTTCAATGATTGGTTCCGTCGTATGGAAAAATGTGTCAAATTTCGCGGAGAATACTTCGAAAAGCAATAAATACATTTTTAAATAGTAATGTTGTGTCACTTCTTTGATTCCCGAAATTTTCAGTGCCGCCCTCGTATAGATATGTAGAAAGAAACAAGGATATAGGAACACTCGAAATTTCATAAAGAAAAGAAATATGCAATATAATTATATATTTCTCGATGTACTCAATAGGAGCCTCTAATACATAAAAAAAAATCAATCATAGCTATATACTTTAGTATGTTATCATTGACCAACGCCATTTTTGTTGAAAACAACTTCGCCATAATGTTCACGAAATATTGAAATTATAACATAAAACGTAATTTTCGCAAATTGGCCTTTGTGGAATATGAAAATTTGTGTTTTTACATGATTTATAGTGATAAGTCACACTTATATTTCGTTTTCAGTTACTTCTGACTATATTTCATACGTGACCTACACAGTATTTGAAACGCCAATTTTATGTGTCAAGTGTATAAAAACGTTATGAGACAAAATATAAACAAATAACTTTTAAAAACAGTGTAATTACTTAAATTTGATATTAAAAAAAAACTAACAACAAACTTTCTTTTGTACCTACATAATTTTTTTTTAAATTTGAAGTTACCTCTTGCACTCACGCGGCGAAGGAATGAATATATAATGAAATAGACTTACGTAAGTATATTGTTGCGCGCCACTATTAATGTCTTGTACATCCCAATAGTTACCACTAGCGCCCTCTAGTATCAAGTAGCAGAACTAGGAGAGTCGAGATCTTTCTAGAAATTTCGGGACCGATATGTACTCGAACATACTAGATGTTTCCACAGTAAAAGGTTCTAGAAACTATCTGAGGCCCTATATAAGGCCGGTATAGAACACGATCGAGTCAGACTTCGATTCGATTAACGTTCGACCCAAGAACGATCTTCTTGATCCCGACGACGAGATCACTTCTATGATAAGGTCGATCCCGCCCCCCCCCCTCCACAGGAGAGGGAACTTGTCTAGTTAACATAAACACACACACATACACACTCAGACACTACTCTAGTATAGAACACTAGGGCACACCGCGTTCGCCGGTGAACGCGTTGTCACAGACACAACCCGTACACGAGGTTCAACACCCGTGATATGGGGCGTTTCTAATTTTGCGACCCGTAAACAAACCGGCAGAATCGTTGCACTCCATAGTTCGTAGGTCCTCACTTACAAGCCTAATTAGATGAAGCTGTTAAGGCTGCAGGGCCAACAGCCTACACTTTCAGAAAAAAAAAGACCGAGTCAGTATTGAATTGGCGATACAAGAGAATACTTCGAAGCGAAATAACTGCGAACTAAAGCGATCAGTAGTACAATTGTGTTTTATTATTAGTGTGGTTTTAAATTGAAATTAGTGTTCTGTAATTAAAGTGTCAATTTTGGTAATTCAATCGGCAGTTTTTAACTGTCTCGAACCCCAAGCTCGTTACAATTGGTGTCAGAAGTGGTATCAATTCATGCCGATTTTTCCAAAGGTCGACATGAAGGGTATCCGTGCCCGAAGTCAACGCCAGCTCGAGATGGACCAGAGACGTAATGCAACGCCGCAAACGTACGGAGGCCGGCCCGTCAGCAGCTCCTGCATATGCAGCACATGACTTAGGTGCTCTGATGATGATGCTGCAGGAGCAGGTTCGCCAACAGGAGGAACAGGCCCGTCGGTTGGAAGAGGCTCTTATTTTGAAGAGCAGCTCAAACGCTATAAGGAAGAGCAGATGCTCCTCATGAAAGACCTTTACGCTAGCTTCGGGAAAGAGATAAAGGAGGTGAAGGATAGGGTTGCTCAATATGATAACCGCCTGTCGGAAGCTGAAATCCGAATCGACCAAGTGTACAATCGGGTTGACAACGTGATGGCTGACGTGAAGAAAACGCTGGACGGCCTCAAACTTGGAGATGGAATTACAGCTCCCGTGGTAGCTACACCACCTTTGCTAGGTGGATTATTCAAAGTGCCACCGTTCGACGGGACTTCTTCCTGGTTGGCCTACAAAATCCAGCCTCGAAAGGCTGTTATGAAGACGAACGGCTGGAATAAAAGTCAGGCCATGACTGCTCTCACCCTAGGCTTACTTGACCAGGCCTTAACTGTTCTGGAAGCTCTCAGTAAGGAAGTGATTTACGAGCAGCTCCTTGAGGCATTGGAGGCGAGATATGGCGACACTCACCTGGAACACGTCGTTCGTGCACAGCTCAAAGATTGCGTGCAACGCAGCAACGAAAACCTGCAGCAGTGGGCCCTTGAGGTGGAGAAGCTGGTTCGAAAAGCATACCAGTCTGTACCTGCGCTCATTGTAGGGAACCTGGTGCAGAGATTCATCGACGGCATCCGCGACCTTGAAGTCAGAGCTGCTGTGAGGCTCGGGCACCACGAGACGCTTAAGGACGCGTTGGCCCATGTACTGGAGGTGGAAGCCGTGCGGCAAAATCTTCGTTCCTATCGCGTCAGGGAGGTTGCAGCGGCTACAGTTCACGACCGCAATAAACGATACAGCCCTAGGTGCTACGGCTGTGGGGAAAGGGGCCATCTTCGATCCAGCTGCCCTAAACGAACTGTAGAAAGGGAAAGTGATCGATCTCGAGAGGGTAGTGTGGCTAACAGCACCGCCCAGCAGCAGCAGGGAAACTGGCGGGTGCTGACTGATGTTAGAAGAGGTACTCCTAAGATTGTCCATGTGGATCGACTGGCGCATTATTATGGGCCAATAATGCTCGGGACGAGCATGTCTTAGGTGGGGGCAGTGTTGCGCGCCACTATTAATGTCTTGTACATGGCAACACTAGTTACCACTAGCGCCCTCTAGTATCAAGTAGCAGAACTAGGAGAGTCAAGATCCTTCTAGAAATTGTGGGACCGATATGTACTCGAATATACTAGATGTTTCTTTTTTTTTTATAGGAGAGGGTGCAAACGAGCATGCGGCTCACCTGATGGTAAGTGACTACCGCCGCCCATGAACAACTGCAACACCAGGGAAGGAATTGCAGATGCGTTGCCGGCCTTTTAAAAAGGAGTACGCTCTTTTTTTGAAGGTCCCTAAGTCGTATCGGTCCGGAAAAATCGCAGATGGTAATCGATTCCACAAGGGACTTCCTTGCGTGCGAGGAAGAAAACATCTTCTAAATCGCACAGTGGTGGACCGCTAATCATCCAGATGGTATGGATGGTATCGGGAGTTCTGCCGCGATGTGCGTTCGTGAAATTTGGCGGCTGGGATTAATCCGAACAATTCCTCAGAGCACTCCCCATGGTAGATGCGAAAGAAAATGCAAAGGAATGCAACATCTCTTCGCAGTGCCAATGAATCGAGCCGATCGGAAAGAGCTCGGTCGTCGACGATTCGAGCCGCTCTGCGCTGGATGCGGTCAAGTGGAAGCAGCTGGCACTGGGGAGCCCCTGCCCAGAGATGGGAACAGTAATCCATGTGAGGCCGAACCTGCGCCTTGTAAAGTTGCAGGCGGTGTGCCGGCATGAAATACTGTCTCGCTCTGATGAGCACGCCAAGCTTCTTAGAGGCCAATTTGGCCTTCTGTTCCAAGTGACCACGAAACTGCACGTCACTCGATATGTCGACTCCGAGGATACCGATACTGGCTGAGGCAAGAAGGGGAGTGCCTTGAAACTGAGGAGATACGACAAAGGGGTTCTTTTTAGCGGTAAACTGGCAAACTTGTGTCTTCTGAGGATTAAACTGGACTAGATTTAGTCGCCCCCAATCCAAGACTTTGTTCAGCAAAGACTCGACTTCAGACACAAGTTTGTTCCGGTACTCGGCGACGTTTTCCCGATAAATATTGGCACGGCCGGTGTATACAGCATCACCAGTGCTGTCATCCGCATAGCAATGAATGTTACCAGTTAGCAACATATCATTGATATGCAGAAGAAACAGCGTTGGTGATAGCACACAGCCTTGTGGAACACCAGCGTTAATAGGCTTGTAGTCAGAACATACACCGTCTACAACGACTTTGATGCTCTGCAAGGAAGCTGGTGATCCAATTGCACAATTTCTCGGAAAGCCCATAGGAAGGGAGCTTCGAAAGAAGCGCCTTGTACCAAACCCGATCGAAGGCCTTCGCAATGTCCAGACTAACGGCCAACGCCTCCCCTTGGACTCTACTGCCTCCGCCCATCTATGGGTCAGGTAGACCAGAAGATCACCAGCTGATCGACCCCGACGAAAACCGTATTGGCGGTCACTAATCAGCTGGTGATCCTCAAGGTACCGGATGAGCTGGCAGTTAATAATGGATTCCATTATTTTGGAGAACAAGGAGGTGATCGCGATAGGCCTATAGTTGGACGGGTCTGAGCGGTCGCCTTTTTTTGGGATCGGGTGGACAAAAGCTGTCTTCCATGAATTCGGGACTACGCCTTGGGAGTAGGAGTACCGGAAAAGACGCGTTAGGACCAGTACAATAGAAAGTTCTGGAAACTATCTGAGGCCCTATATAAGGCCGGTGTAGACCACGACCGAGTCAGTATTGAATTGGCGATACAAGATAATACTTCGAAGCGAAATAACTGCGGACTAAAGTGATCAGTAGTAAGATTGTGTTTTATTATTAGTGTGGTAATTTAAATTGTAATTAGTGTTCTGTAATTAAAGTGTCAATTTTGGTAATTCAATCGGCAGTTTTTAATTGTCTCGAACCCCAAGCTCGTAACAATATGAAGTAAATTGGACGCGAGGTAAATGCGCAAACTCGTGAAATTTTGAAGTACATTACCTTAATTGAGAGAAGCGATATTTATTAACGAGACTAACTGTAATAATTTTTTTAGAATTTTAGTCGTATAATTCTTATTAATAACATTTAAAAAAGAATTGTTCTGAGCACTCTTATCTATTGTACTCAGTAAACGTAGTGATTATATATTCTTTGGTTTCGAGGGGTCCCTTTTACATATTACTATTTTTTGGCGGGGTCTACAAATTTATCACGGGGGAAACCGATGTGGACCGGCAGGACTTGACAGATTAACTGAAAACAGCATAGAGTCACTACATCTTCTTACGCACCGACACGGCAATTTTTTTTTATAGTATAAGGGTGACAAACGAGCACACAGCCCACCTGATGGTAAGTGGTTGCTGTGGCCCATAGACATCCCATCTACATCTAACCTCGATTACATATCAAAATGCGTTGTCACCCCTGAGGACTAAGATGAATGTCTCGTTTCCAGTAAAAAGGGTCTAAGATTCTCTACACTCCACTATACGAAACACAGCAGCGTTATGCTGCTATTTTACGCTGGTATTCTGTGAGATCGTGAAAGGACCACGCTCTATATTTTGCCAATCTGTATTTTGATTATTAATCGAGGGACGGTGTCTTTTAGCATTCATCTACTATCGAGTGGACTGTGTTCTTTTGTCATATATAATCTATTAAAATAAACAAGCACAGTCAATGTTTCTAACTCTAGATCATAAGTAATACTCATTGAGAGTTACTCTTTTATCTATTTACCACTGGTTCTGAATTAAACCTCTGTCCTGCGAGAACCCAGCGGGACTTTTATAAAAAAAAATAACAGCCTACAATAATGCATATTACACAATTAACAACACAAAACAAATTAGAAACAACTTGGCAGCGATCAACTCATTCCCAGAAATTATTATCATCCATAAATTTCTTAATATTATAATAACTTATTTTAATAAAGTGTTTGAACTTTGAGCAGGTAAAATTTTGTATATTTTCCGGAATTTGGTTGTAAAAGGGTATACATCGCCCCAAGAATGAATCACTGACTCGGTGGAGTCGAGTAATTGTGTTTCTTTTTCATCATATTTGTGTAAACATATTTTAACCATAACAGAGGGAAATAAACTTCCAATAGAGTAATCAGATATTAAAAAAACATCTTAAACTAATAATTACCTCTTGCATCATTGTGATAAACTCTGAGAACGCCCAGTTTAACTGACTGAGCAGAGAGTTAAGAAATGAAGAGGCTTGTTTTGGATTTGACATAAGGTAATCTTTTATGCGACTTTGGATCACTTCTGACGGGCAAGGACCTGAAACAAAGAATTGATTTTGTAGATTTTAAATTTAAATCTAAAGATACCCATTAAGTCATCTATTTTGATGATGGAAGAAAGGTGTTTTATTTTATAGCAATAAAAATTACTATTACTATACTACATTGTGAAAACCCTTTTTCTGATAACCAGAAAATTACATTTTCAAAATCAAAATTTAAATAAAAATTTAAACGTGGTAGAGCTGTGCTGCAGCTAAATTAGAAGAATAGTTGTAGCAGAATGGGTTGGCTCGACCGGGGATGGACAACGCTCTCACAGAATACCAGCATAAAATAGCAGCTTAACACTGCTGTGTTTCGTATGGTGAGTGTAGAGAACCAGAGACCCTTTTTACTGGAAAAGAGGCATTAAATTTTGAGGCTGACAACGCATCTGCATTTTGATTCGCAAACGAGGATAGATGTAGATGTCTAAGATAACCACTTACCATCAGGTGGACTGTGTGCTTGTTTGTCACCCTGTCCTATAAAAAAACAATCTTATTCCTTAGTGGTGACACAACGCATCTTCATTTTGTGTTAAATGAAGGTAGCTATGGGCCACAGCATCAACTCACAATCAAGTGGATTGTGTGCACGAATGAGAAAATATAAATATTGAGAGTATTAAGGTACGCAACCCTCATCGACACACGATGAGGGTTGGGTACCTTATACTCAGAATCACTAAACGGTATTCGTTAAAGTTCATACAGGCTTACGCACCAACCTCAGCACATCCCGATGATGAGGTGGAGGAAATGTCTGAGGATATATCTAGAGCCATGCATTCCTCTAAAACCCACTATATGGTGTTAATGGGAGACTTCAACGTAAAACTAGTCACAAGAGAGAACGGTGAGCTGAAGGTAGGGAAATTTGGAATAGGGCAACAAAAGCAAAAGGGCTGGCCGACTTCATGAAGAAAGAGGGACTCTTTATGATGTACTCTTTGTTGCAGAAGCGGCCCCACAGGAAGTGGACCTGGTCGAGCCCCGACAGTCCGACAAAAAATGAGATTGACTTCATTATGACGACCAGACGACAACAGTTCAGTGATGTCTCAGTAATCGTGAGGGTGAAAAACAGCAGCGATCACCGATCTGATTCTAAACGTTAAGTTGGAGAGGTCACGCCTAATAAAGTCAACGCTCCGTCCTCCTGGTGTTCTAATCCAAAGTCCTGAAACCTATCGTGTTTATACAGTAGTGAAACGCTTCATCGCTGCATTGGAAGACGTTTTCAAGCTTCTGGACTGGAAAGGATACGGTATTAACATCAACGGTGAGTACATCACTCACCTTGGACTTGCCGACGATATAGTCCTTATGGTAGAATCGCTGGAGGACCTAAGCACTATGCTCAATGACATCAATAGTGCCTCCCAAAGGGTAGGTCTTATGATAAACATGGACAAAACAAAGATCATATTTAATGAGCACTAAGCTCGAAGTTGGTGACGAGTATGTTCACCTGGGACAAATAGTCCGACTAGGTAAATCCAAATTCGACCGAGAGGTCAATCGATGGATTCAACTCGGCTGGGCAGCGTTCGGGAAATTACGACTCAGCTTCTCGTCAGGTATACCTCAAAACCTGAAAACGAAATTGTACAACCAATGCGTGTTGCCAGTGATGACCTATAGAACTGAGACGTGGCCCTTCACTGCTGGCCGTATGAGAAACCTCAAGGTCAAGAAATGAGGATATCCGCAGTAGAACCAGAATGACCAACATTGCAACGGATTAGTAAGCTGAAGTGGCAATGGGCCGGCCATTATAGCTCGAAGAACCGACAACTGATGGGGAAAAATGGTTTTCGAGTGGCGGCCTCGTACCGGCGGGCGAAGTGTAGGGCGTCCCCCCACTATATGGAGTGACGGCATGGTTAGACATGCAGGAAATCGATGGATGCAGGTGGCTCAGGACCGTGCTTTGTGGCATTCATTGGGGTAGGCCTGTGTTCAGCAATGGACTTGTGAAGGGCTGTAATGATGATGATGACTTTTATATGATGATCAAACATTATTATTATAAATTAATTAAAAAAATTAAAATAATAAGAAATTATTAAATCATCGAAATAGAAGAATTTACCGAAGCATTGAGACATAAGACCGGCGTCAACCTTTGCACCCAAATTATTTACAGTTGGTTCTCTATCACCGAATCTGAAAAATCATTAACATTATTAATTTCATTCGTGAGTACACACATTAAATATGAAAAATCAAAGCATTTAGAATTAAAGTATAGCTAAAAATAAACTTTAAAAGAATGAGTTTAACATGTTTTATACAAAAGCACTGTTTAGTTTAAAGAAAACCATGCGATTATGTAGTTAGAATCTGTTAATGTTGCTATGTATGTATTAACAACAAACGTAATTATACTTCGCAGCCAAATGTGGCCATTGTCGGTGTCGAAAGCCAAAACCGGAGCCGTGCCAAAAGCGAACGAGCACCCAATTGGACTGGGCCCAAGCACGATTTTGATAAGGCCGCACCAATTCCTCCACCATGCACATCTGCCTGCAAAAAAATATCAAATTGAATAACATGGTAGAGCCATGCTGCAGCTATATTGGTAGTATAGTTGTAGCACGAATGGGTCGGCACGACTGGGGAAGTACCGCGCTCGAAGAAATGAGGCATACCATCTTAGTCCTCACGACATGTAGATGTCTATGGGCCACAGCAACCACTTACCATCACGTGGACTGTGTGCTCGTTTGTCGCCCTATCCTATAAAAAAACTTTTAATACATTAAAATATTAAATGAAATTACAGCCTTAATACACCCCAAATACTGAGCGCAAACCTCTCATTTAAAAAAAATTTGGAACAGTTAGTCCGCTGTGAAGTTTCTTATGATTCATTATTCATTAATTCATTACAGCCCTTCACAAGTCCACTGCAGAACATAGACCTCCCCCAAGAAATGCCACAAAGCACGGTCCTGAGCCATCTACATCCATCTACTTCATGCATGTCTTACCAGATCACTCCATCTAGCGAGGTCTTATGATTAACCGAAATTAAAATAACTGTAACTTGTGGCATGCGTGTCTTAGGCAATAGCATTAATAATATAGTTTTAAAAAAAAAACTTGAACAACGCTCATAAATCATGATTTGTGACATTCGTAATGAGACTACTCTGTAATAGTTATGACTTTATTAGATTGTCTACAGTTCCTAATAAGTTAGCAAATTTTCAGATTATTCTGACGTCTGGAAGTGGGTAAAAACTAAATTATAAAATTCTATTACATGCGTCTTAGAGCCATGCTGCAGCTATGTTATGGTTGTAGCACGAATGGGTCGGCTCGACCGGGGAAGGACCACGCTCTCACAGAATACCAGCGTAAAATATCAGCTTAACGCTGCTGTGTTTCGTATGGTGGGTGTAGAGAACCGGCGATCCTTTTTACTGGAAACAAGGAATTCACACGTTTGCGTTTTGATTCTTATTTGAGGATAAACGTGGATGCCCATGAGCCGCAGCATTCACTTACAATCGGGTGGACTGTGTGCTCGTATGTTACCCTTATTCTATTTAAAAAAAAATAACGTTACTGACGAACGAGATCAAAGTTTTTGCATAATAATGTCCCCAATGGCCGCTCTTTAAAACTTTTAAACCTCTTTGCCAAAAGCTAATCACTGTACCATAAATTTAAGTATACACAGCCTTAATAAATCAATTCCTGAAGCTAAGCTCACATCAGTCTGCCCCAAAAAGCGGTTCTAAGCCTCTAATATCTATTAATTTTATAGGTTACATTTATTATTTTAACTTTGAACCACCACAGAACTGAGTTAGCCGATACTTAAATACTCGTAAAACTTTTTTACCTTGATGTTTTTTTTTATTCTTTAATTTTTAACAAAGGTTATTCTTATGTGTACATTAATCAGACAAAGAAATTAAACAGAGCAATCAGGCTCAGTGGTGCAGTAGTTTAGCTTTGAAATGCGGCGCTAAGAGCCGCGGATTCAAATCCCGGACGGAACAAGGTTTTCATTGTGCAATTTATATGTATAAACTGCCGCCACGATACAGGAGAAAATCGAAGTGTGGGGTTAAAGATTTATTTAAAAGACAATTTCTCGATTCTGCTAATGCTATCATTGAAATTGATGGTATCATTATGATAAGGATTTTTATACGTGGTAGAGCCATGCTGCAGCTATATTACTAGTATAGTTGTAGCACGAATTGGTTGGCTCGGCCGGCGAAGGACCACGCTCTCATAGAATAACAGCAGTGTAGAGAACCGGAGACCCTTTTTACTGGAAAAGAGGCATTCCATCTTAGTCTTTTTTTTAAATTTATCTATACAATATATATATATATATATATATATATATATATATATATATATATATATTAAATCTGTAATTCTAATTTAATTTTTACTTTTACGACCAGCTAACAGTGTTAATTCCGTAGACAGTAGGAATCACTGGCAACGCGCATGAGACGAAAAAATATAGAATGTACCTTACGTGGTAGAGCTACTTTGCAGCTATGTTATGGTTGTAGCATGTATGGGTTGGGTAGATCGGGGTAGTACGATGATCTCACAGAATACCAACGTAAAATAGCAGCTTAATTCTGCTGTGTTTCGTATGGTGAGTCTAGAGAACCGGATACCCTTTTTACTGGAAACGAGGCATTCCATCTTAGTTCTCAGGGGTGACAACACATCTACATTTTGATTCTTAATCGAAGATACCTATGGACCACAGTATTCGCTTATATTCAGGTAGACTGTGTGCTCGTTTGTCACCCTTATTCTATTAAAAAATGTATTGTTATTTCACGAATATTGACAATCTGAGATACTAACTTTTTTTGGAACGAAGTTCTTTATCGGACGGTACGAATTTGGTGGATGGGGCTAGGCGAGAAAAAGTATAATATTTCCGTCACGACCCCTTCTTACGTAGAGTAGGTAACGTAGGCCTTGGCGGCTATAAGGAAGCGACATAGAATAATATCCATTTCCCTCGCACTTTTTCTTATCTTGCCATGATAGAAATATTATTTTATTTTAAATGACGCTTCATTTTAATAAACGCTAGTAGTTCATTTATTTGTATTTGTTAATCAATAATATAATACGTTTATCAATAATAATATACTACGAAAGGAACTTCGTAGCAACCGAGTGTTCCACAACACACACGTATGTTTTTTTTTTTTATATAAGAGGGGCAAATTGCGTGCGGCTCACCTGATGGTGACTACCGCCGCCCACGAACAACTGCAACACCAGGGGAATTCTCTACCGTACTGGTAATTTCAGGTGCGTTGACGGTCTTTTTAAAAAGACTTGAAGGTCCCTAAGTCGTATCGGTCCAGAAAAATAATTAAGTCTAACTCTTTGGCGAATTTCTGACTTAACTACAGCATAAGAATATTCATAATTTCAGAATTCTCATTAACCTTCCAACAACTTACTGTTTTATGGGCACTTTCTCTATCGCTCTCATAGTGGCTGGCTGCGTTGCAAATGACGCCAATGTTTGAACAAGCGATTCCCTCGTACTAGCCAGCACAATACGTTGGTCCGCAAACTCCGCGCATAGAAAGGATGCGCATGATACCATCATCTCTTCCCATTCTGTCAAAAAAAAAAACAATCGTAATTTATTTCTTGTCATAGACTATTGTAATTCAAGTATCTGTTAAGCGTGTCAAGGTCGATGATTGGCAGCGAAAGTATCGGCTTTTTGTTCACCAACCCTTCTTCCCAGCATAGTGAACTTTCAAAAAAAAAAAGGGCAAATGTTCTAATTTAAAATTATTATTATTTTAATTTAGAACAATCACTTATCACTAATTCAGAAGTGGACTAAAAAGGTTATATATGTTCTTTTACAAACAATATAAATTTTTATAAAAAATAATTTTTGACAAACGTTTAAATAACTGTTTGCGGCCAATTTTAGTTGTAGGTTGATATATTCAAAAGAATATACTGCAATTAAATAGAATCAGGCGTTACTTTGCGTAAATCCATTATGTTAAAGTTGCTAAAAATTATCTTGCGTACATTCGCTCGATAAAATAAAATGATGTGTCTTACCTAGTTTGAAGAGCGCCTCCCGCCCTCCCTCAATTGCGTGCACTATCCCCGTCACCACTAATCCCAGCACCACTACACCCAATACCACTACACTAGGAAAGACACACCACTGACGACAATACGACACGTGTTTCGCCTCTACACGAGGCATCTTCAGGTGATGTAGACTCTAAGTGCTCTTCAAACTAGGTAAGACACATCATTTTATTTTATCGAGCTGATGTACGCAAGGTAATTTTACCAACTTTAATAGAATATACTGCTTTGTGGTTTTGGTGGTTGCACTTGCAACTGACAATTATTTGGGACCGGGTTCGACTCCCGAGTCGGGTGGAAATTAATTACTACTTCTTGTCAGAAAAAACAAGTAATTGGTTTCGTTCTATGGAGAGTGATTTCTCACTCTTCAGAAAATATACTTGTGCTTTCGCATACACTTGTGCACTACGATCCTGTCTTGGACAGATTAACCGCCATAACCGAAATTCGAACTGGAGGACATTATTTTTACTTTAATTTATAGTTACTTACCTGTTACTTGATGTATGGGTACAGTCGGATGCATGTACAATCTCAAAGTGTTACAAAGTTCCAACATAGCATCCACGTGGTATTCGGGTACAAAGGCAAATAAAGATTCCGCAAATCCAGACTGGCGGCCATCTAGAAGTGATTTTTTTTTTCTCTTAAATCATCATATTTCTAATTTATGAACGTTAAATAAGTTAGTAAAGAACTATTTAACGTAAATGATACATCTGTGTAGTTGATAATATTAAATTACCACATCATATCATTTGATCATGCTGTACCTGTTTTATGTAGTAAAACTTGTCAATACAGGGTTATTTTTCAAAGAGTAGCCAAATTTTAAAATTAAGTTCAAATATATAAATAATGATTATTGCAGTTATTGCAGTCTTTGAAAATACGTGGTAGAGCCATGCAGCAGCTATATTAATTGTTTAGTTGCAGCACGAATGGGTCGGCTCGACCGGGGAAGGACCACGATCTCACAGAATACCAGCGTAAAATAGCAGCTTACTGCTGCTGTGCGTATGGTTAGTGCAGAGAACCGGAGACCCTTTTTTGGAAAAGAGGCATTCTATCTTAGTCCTCACGACTGACAGCGCATTTGCATTTTGATTCGCAAACGAGGATGGATGTAAATGTCGTGGGCCACAGCAACCACTTACCTACCATCAGATGGACTGTGTGCTCGCTTGTCACCTTTATCCTATAAAAAAACAACGTTTTTGCCTACCGATCAATCCTTACAAATATGCGCAGTAAAATCAGTTAAAATAATGTAAAACCACGCATTTTGAAATTAAAAGATAGGACAGAAAATTTAAGATTTTTTTTTTAAATTAATTTTTCTTCATTGCTTTTATTAGTTATTCTGAACCTTCTCTGCAAATTTGGCCGGTTATTGCAAAATAACCGTGTATAAAACATTTATTTATAAATATTTTGAAATGCGATAGGATGTTTATTTAACTGCAAGAAACTACAACGTCATTTAAAAGTTAAACAATACCTAAATTTCTATAATAATGATCATTTTGACGGTTTGCGAAAGTAGTACAATTGTATTAAGTGCCTGATCTATGTTTATTTCCTCCTAATGAATAACTAAATTTTGGATAGTCACCAAGTTGATTGAGTATCACTATCATGCAATCTATCGTCTAGTTCGCTTTCAATACTTTGTACGATATTCCTGAATAAATCTTGCACTTCTGCCAGTAGCAAAAAGGACACAAAATATCAGCAAAACGGCGAACAAATCATGCCAGCAGTTACTGGCGCATTCTTCGGCCATAGCATCATCTCCATGCTTGTCATCATCAAGTAAGTGTTGTTCTCGGCAAGCATCTCGGTAAGTGGGATATTCGAGGCGTCGTGCCCATTAGGCGTTCGCAGATTAGCAAAAGAAGTAGGTGCCCGCAATGTACATTGAAAGCGCAAGTAGAAATATTTGGCATTGTTTTAACAAACTGCTATACTCTTACGGTAACGTGTTCTTTAAATATGCCGGACTCGTTATCGCCTATCGTAAGTATAGTATGACTTATATATGATAATATAGTATAACAAATCCACGCGTATGTAGAGATATTCTTCATGAGATGCAGTGTCAGCGACACGCGAGCAAACACAATCAGACCTAAAAACCTATCATTAAGAAATCGATCTCAGGGCCTAACAAAATAAAATCTCGTCTGATTAGCCTCATAAAAGATGAAATTTACTCACGTGCATTTGAAATAATAATTTGAGCATTTGATCCTTGAAGAGGCGTCGCCGCTCTGGACGTTGGACTTTGCGGGCTGCAAAAATTTAAATATGAAATCCTCTTTGATCATTTTAACAACAGGTATCTTAATATTATACACTGAAATGTGTTAATCTCTTCGAATAAATTTGATCACTTATGCCTGATTGGAACTTAACAATTGGTTGATCTAATTATTCGCTGTAACTATCGTATAGTTTGCGAAGAGTAATCGCGTGCTAAATTTATAATTGATAGTACCTATATTATGTCAAAAATAAGTCAGTATCGATTATATATATATATAACACAAGAAAATATGTTATCAGTTTTAGCATTATGACAGGTAGTGTGAAATTAATTCTTATATCAGATGTAACAGGGCAAAGATTCTCCCATTATCGGAAGCATCTAGTTTGATTTTTACAAGTTGCCACAAGTTTTTTTTTTAATTTCCCTTAGTTGCTGATGAATTGACAATGGGCGACTGTTGTTTCGCCACTATCTAAATACTTTAAGTGAGCAATTCTTGTGTATATATGTATGTTCTACTTTTTAGGTGGGTTCCATCAGGCAGCCGCAAAAAAAACGTCAAAACGCAAGTGCAGTAGATGAGGGTGGTACTTGACGAGAAATTAGTATGTCGATGACGATGATCATGACGGCGGCAACGGTGACGGTGACCATTACAATGACGATGACAATGACGATGTTAATGACGATGACGATGGTTATAACGATGAAGACGACTATGACGATGACGATGATAATGACGATGTTGATGACGATGACCATGGCGATGACGATGAAGATGACTATGACGATGACAATGGCAATGACGATGTTGATGACGATGACCATGGCGATGACGATGAAGACGACTATGACGATGACGATGACAATGACGATGTAGATGACGATGACCATGGCGATGGCGATGAAGACGACTATGACGATGACGATGACAATGACGATGTTGATGACGATGACCAAGGCGATGACGATGGAGACGACTATGACGATGACGATGACAATGACGATGTTGATGACGATGAACATGGCGATGACGATGAAGACGACTGTGACGTTGACGATGACAATGACGATGTTGATGACGATGACCATGGCGATGACGATGAAGACGACTATGACGATGACGATGACAATGACGATGTTGATGACGATAACCATGGCGATAACGATGAAGACGACAATGACGATGACGATGACAATGATGATGTTGATGACAATGACCATGGCGATGACGATGAAGACCACTATGACGATGACGATGACAATGACGATGTTGATGAGGATGACCATGGCGATGACGATGAAGACGACTATGACGATGACGATGTCAATGACGATGTTGATGACGATGACCATGGCGATGACGATGAAGACGACTGTGACGTTGACGATGACAATGACGATGTTGATGACGATGACCATGGCGATGACGATGAAGACGACTATGACGATGACGATGACAATGACGATGTTGATGACAATAACCATGGCGATGACGATGAAGACGACTATGACGATGACGATTAGTGTCGGCAGGGATTGCACTCAGACTGCTCGCGCACTGTCAAATTACAGCGAGCGCTTAACCTCACGTTACTTTTTTATAGGATAAGGGTGACAAACGAGCACACAGTCCACCACTAATGGTAAGTGGTTGCTGCGACCCGTAGACTTCTACATCAAACAAAATGCAGATGCGTTGTCACCCGTGAGGACTAAAATTGAATGCCTCATTTCCAGTAAAAAGGGTACGGCTCTTGTGTATGAATATCAATATTTTCATACGTGATAGCGCCATGCTACAGTATATATTTGTAGCACGAATGGGTCGGCTCGACCGGGAAAAGACCACGCTCTCACAGAATACCAGCGTAAAATAGCAGCTTAACTCTGCTGTGTTACGTATGGTGAGTGTAGAGAGCCGGATACTCTTTTTACTGGAGAAGAGGCATTCTATCTTAGTCCACACGGCTGACAACGCATCTGTATTTTGATTATTTATTTAAGATAGATGTAGATGTCTATGGGTCACAGCAACCACTTACCATTAGGTGAACTGTGTGCTCGTTTGTCACCCCATCCTATAAAAAAAAATGCCAGCTATCAGCATCCTTGCTAAGCTCTGTGCTCAGCAATGTACTTAAAAAGCAAAACAGAGTTGCCTTATTTGCACCGCTCGCTCATATCCTCAAATAGAAATTTTCAACGTCACCTTTGATCAGAGCTGGATGTGTACTCCAATTGTAATGACGCATAGCTTCCAGTGCCAAGAAGAGAGCTCTTATCCGGTAGAATTTCTTTACTGGCAACCTAATATTAAATGTTATTTTTTGATTAATTGTCACATCCTTTATCTAAAAAGAATACATTCAATCGCTGTAATATTTACAATATATTTTAATACAATATAAATTTAGTAACAAATTTCTTCGCAAAATATGACATTGCGAAATTACTGTAAGTTGTTGATAACTACTTAAGTTAGCAGACACTTAACGACCATAGTATTTTATTCTATTCATAAGGCATAAAGTGAACTTATTCAATAACATCTTAAATATCAGAATAGTTTCTTAAGCCTAGTATAGTGACTTTTTACTAGTAAATACAGCATGCACTATAACAATGACTTAAGTAGGTTTTACTTTGAATACTATAACTAATATGAAATATATAATTTCATATTAGTTATATAGGGTTGATTGTTTCGTTGGTCTAGTGGTTGTAATCGCGGTTGCCGCTCATAAGGTCCGGGTTCGAATCCCGGGTCGAGCCGAAATCATTAATTGGTTTTTCTGTCATGAAATTCTTATAAGCATTCCGGAGAGAGGAAGATGGCGGTGTTTCACCCCTCTGCCTCGGAAAGCACGCAAAGCGCCTGATCTCTCTCCATTGTCCGTGTCGGATTAGCGTACCATCGGTATTTGAGAGTGAGGAAATAGACAGTATATTTGTACTTGCGCATACTTTTGGACACTATAGTCCAGGCTTGCGCAATGGCGGCTGGTCTCCGTTGAGACTGGCCGCCGTGAGCGAAATTCGGTCTGGAGGACATTTTTTTTAATAGAGTTAATTTAATACTTAGCAGGATCTTTTGTGCCTTAGTACTTTGAAGAATAATGTTAGTTTATACATACATAGCTCCTTCCAAACGTTTCAAAAACTTAATGAACATATTTACTCTCCGACAATTTCAGAACAAATTGAATAATTTGTTTGAGAGAGTTCAAATATGTAATGCGTATGCACGATAACAATAAATAGAAAAGAGCAAATAAAAACTTTCAAATGTGTTGTACAAACTTCAAGATATTAAATGAAACTAATTTTTACGGATTTTATCGCGTTTATTTTAACTTTTTAATTCCCGACGTTTCAGGTGCTTTACAGCACCCATGGTTGGTCACAGGGGGGACTGGGGTGTTTGACGTCCCGATGTCATAGTTAGTTCAACATATTATTTCTGGTGGAACCTTGAGATACTTGTGTATTCTATTACCATACTGTCTTTTAAAATTGTTAACTTTATTATACTCAAAGTAAAACCTACTTAAGTCACTGTTATAGTGCATGCTGCATTAATATACACCAGAAACAGGAATGGACCGAGAATCGAGCCCTGAGGAACACCCATTAGTACAGGTGACCCGGAAGAACTTTCACCATTGATAATAACCTTCTGTTTTCTATTACTTAAATATGAAATAATAAGTTTAAGCGCTGTGTTCTTGACACCATAGTACTGTAGCTTCCTGATTAATGACTCATGGTGAACACAGTCGAAAGCCTTGGAAAGGTCACAAAATATACCCAAAGCATCCTCTGAATTCTCCCATGCACAAAAAATATGTTTAATAAGCTCAACTCCAGCGTCAGTTGCCGAGCGACCCCTTGTAAAACCGAATTGATTTTTATGTAGTAATTTATTAATATTAAAGAAACTTAACATCTGGTCTAAAATAATTTTTTCAAAAATTTTACTTAATGTTGGTAGTACAGAAATTGGTCTAAAATTGGCGGGGTCTAATGTACTACCAGCTTTAAATATAGGTATGATTTTACTATGTTTCATTAAATCAGGAAACACACCAGATTCGACGCTTATATTAAATATAGTGCCTAGATAAGGTGCTAATATATCTATTATAGATAAAATAACTTGAACGGAAATCCCCCATAAGTCTGTCGTTTTCTTAACATCAATAGTTTTAAAATATTTAAAGATATCTATGGAATTTAAAAGTATTTGAACAAGCCTTTACATTTTGTTTGAGCAATGATTCGGCGACAGTAGGAGAAGAATTTAATGATTTTGTTGTCAAAAAAGGAATCAGTAAAATGTTTCTCAAAAGCCATAGCAACTTCTTGATCAGATCGCGTTAAATTATTGTTAATATTCAATTGAAAATCCGAGTTGCGCGGTTTGACCTTGCCCGTTTCACTATTTATTATTCTCCAGGTCATTTTAATTTTGTCGGATGCAGTTTTAATTTCGTTGCTTAAATGTAAAGCCTTAGCAGTGAAGCACACTTTTTTAAATATTTTAGAATATGTTTTTACATAATCTCTAAATATAACACTACTATTATATGATCTTTCACCATAAAGCTGGTATAACCTTCGCCTACTCTTATAAATTCCTACTGTCGCCCATTCATTAAATGATTTGCAACTGTTAAAAGAGAAAGTTTTAGAAGTAAATATTCTACTAAATTCACAACTTATAATTTCAAATAATGTAGCATACAAATAATTAGCACTATTTTTAAACGAAAGTGATGGAAGTGTTTTTATTATATTACTTCTAAACCTCTCCTAATCGTCTGTCGGGTGAAATAAAGGTAAGTAAATATAACAATGTCTTACTTCAATGTGATTTGCGTAATCGGGATCAGACGACAAACGCAGTGAGTGGAGAGTGCCAGCAAAATGCTTCGCCAGTTCTTGTTGCCGTTGTTTAGTCCAAATGGCCCCAATCACCCAAGCCATTTGCAATGCGCCCGATTCTAATTTCTCCTAATCAATATATGTAATAATAATTTTTTTTTCAGATTCACTGAGTTAACTTGAAAATATTTGAACATTTACAAAACAATGTAAATAATAAATAGCTAAATACCTACCTCATAGACAGATTTAGATCTCTCCAGCTCCTTAAGTATTCTTTCCAAAACTTGCTTTGTTACTTTTTCTTCTTCCGTTAATTCTTTCCTCGCATCTACGAGTATGTGTATTTAAACATTAAATCTCTTTTATTTAAATATTTATAATATATTAAAAGAAATATTTATCTAAGACAACATTTTTATCAAAATCTGGCAAAAGTTCTTGCTCCATTATGATGTTTAATTAATTAAATTTTAATCTATACAAATGTTAAATAAATTTGACATCATTATCTTTGTTTTTGATTTCATATGGCCTAATCCCTAATCTATACATCTATAAAGATAAATAAAATTGAAGTGTCTGTTTGTAATGTCAAAATAACAGATTATTACTAAACGACATGAATGTATATACGGTACTTATGACAAGAACACAATTTTTGAACTTTTTGTCAGTCTGTCTGTTTGTTCCGGCCAATCTTCGAAATGGCTGGACCGATTTGGACGGAATTTTCACTGGAAGCTAATGTTATAAGGAGTAAGGTAGACTACTTTTATTTTAGAAAAAGAAGACTTTTAGTTTAGGTTTCCGCGTAAAAAGAAATAAAACCCTTAAAATCCAATCGTAATAAATTACACGCGGGCGAAGTCGCGGGGAACAGCTAGTGTTTATATAATTCTTCTGTACATGTGTTTGCCACTGAAATGCTCCTAAGCGGTTGGACCCATTTTGATGAAATTTTGTGTGTGTATTTGAGTGGTTGCCTATTGCGCCGGTGGCACTATTATCAAGATCCACAAATCACTCACGAAATTGATTTTTTATAGGATAAGGGTGACAAACGAGCACACAGTCCACCTGATGTTAAGTGGTTGTTGTAGCCCATATACATCTACATCTATCCTCGATTACGAATCAATATGCAGATGCGTTGTCACCTGTGAGGATTAAGATGGAATTTCTAATTGAATGATTAACAAACAGAATCCAAGGTGTTATGGAGAAGGAGATACATCAAATGCCGGGTTTGGAAATAGCATGATATTATTGAAATTTACTTCGACATTTGTTTCATGAATTTTATAACTAACATGTTGGTGTTCATATTGACTCTTACAACGTTCTCGTGATGAATATGAATAACGAAGCAAGAAACATCCAAGGCGTTCTGAAATACTTGCTACATGTTTTGTTCGACCATTTATTCTTGGATTTATATTGTCATATTTACAACACGAAAACCAATAATTTAAATTCTTGTATAGCTAGTTTTTCGGGCCTGATTGTGTTGTTAATTTTTCATGTCTGATTTGTATATCTAATACGGTTAGGTTTGGAAGGGTCTTGGGAAGGTTATATGTTTTTACACACATATTCGTGGTGAAATGTCCTACTGTGTTGATATCTTTCGAAAGTGTAGAGAAATTTTCACCTCAGTTACAATCGAGCAAGTAAATATCAAAGTCTTATAAGTCAACATTTTCGAAATAACCAGACCTAATTTCTGCCACGGCGACCTTTCTCGGCGGAGACTAGGCATCTACACAGGACAGGGTTTTTATGCACGAGTGTGTGCGCAAGCACAGGTGCACTCTCAATTTACACACTATAATAGACACGACCAGTGAATAAGAAGAGAGGACTAATGGCTTTACGTGCTTTCGAGGCATGGTGTGAAACACCGCCAACTTCCTGACTCCGGACTGTTACTGTGAATTTCTTGATATAGGTATAATATAATTCGATTTTAGGCTATTTTTTTAAAATAGACAGGCTATGATATACATAGGCAAGGTAGTCAATAGTCCAAAATATATTGGAGTCCTTATGTGTTAGTTAACACAATATCAACATCAACAAGTATTTTAATAATAAAATAAATACATTACTCCCATACCCATTCCCGTCTGCAATTCCAAGGAAACAGTGGCTAAACGTTGTTCGATATCATGTAGGCAGTCAGCCAAATCGAGTTGACTATCTCTGAGTTCACATAACTGGAAAATAAATTATTATTTGTTCAATAAATCTAAATCAGTCAAAGTAAATTAAGCTCAATGATAATATAAAGATTTATATAGCTCAAAGAATGATCCATCGACTTCCGCCGTCACCTCTGAAATTATCTATTATTCGAAATTTTCTATTTTTATTACTTTTCAAGGGTATCAAACGAGCACACAGTTTACTAGATGACAAGTGGATGATTTGACGCATAGAGATCACAGTTAAGAATTAAAATGCAAATGCGTTGTCACCCCTGAGGACTAAAATGGAATGCCACATTTCTAGACAGACGGGTCTTTGGTTCTCTACACTCACCGTACGAAACACAGTAGCATTGAGCTGCTATTTCACGCTGTTAATCTGTGAGAGCTTGGTCCTTCCCCGGTCGAGCTGAACCATTCGTGTGACAACTATAATATAGCTGCAGCATGGCTCTACCACGAATAAAATTATAATTGAAATATTGTATAAAAGTTACCAAAGTCACTTGTATCACCCTCAAACTAAAAACTAAGATTAAATTAAAATTTTTCGTTCATAGTCTGTTAGAGTTTTTAAAATAATTTTAAAAAGTATGACATTATATAGTAATTACTTACTTTTTCTGCATGTTTAATAGCAGCACCATGGTACAGCGCCAGAACACCATCGAGCAATCTCAGAAATGCCAATCTAATGTCGATAGCTCCAGCGCCTGGCATCAAGGACCTAGCGCCTTTTAAAGCTAATGCCGTCTCGCCCGTGGTTCTAGAATAGTTTTTACATTAATTAGTCTGACTTTGTTTTAATTGTTGAAAAAATAAACTTAAAAAATCCTTTTTTAAGTTAGGGAGAAAGGATTAAAACCCAAACGGTTACTATTGCGACGTAAATTATCCAGTACCTTCATCCACAGGTTAGGTAGATACCTAACCTGTGGATCTTATATCTTGGTTTTTGAACATAATATGGTTTTGGAACATAATATGAAAACAGTTTTGTACTTTCTAGGCAGCCCGCTAAATCTGTAATATCTGTAATAATGAAATAACTATCATAACATATAAATACCTGTTTGGTATTAGTGGCATCGCAGCATGCATAAATCTAGCCATTGATGATATCACTTGCGGCAGTGTTGCCAGACCTGGTGATCCAGCCGCCATCTCACTTACACCTGTAAGCAACGATTACTTAATATTCATTTGAAATATTTAAATTTTTTAATGATATTAATGTATAATTAATGCTTATTAGAATAAATACTTTTTCTTTTGAAGACCATAAATTACATTTCCGTGGGTATCGAGATATTTTACATGTGCCAAGTACAAACATTTCAGTAGAGTTACCCGAGGCAAGTGTTTTCCAGTATTATATATGCCATCAAAAACATAACTTGTAAAAAAAACCAAGTCTCGTAACTCAGTTCTTCTACCGTAAAAAGTTGTGAGATCCATGTAATACCAAGTCGGTTAATTTATTCAGTCCATACTTAAGGGTCCTTCTGCCTTAAGTTCTTACGTAATTAGCTAACCTAACAACATCTTATAGTCACCACATCAATACTAAAAATCTTTTATATTTTAAATAAATAGATTGACTTGGCCATCGCATGAAAACACAATGTATCTCTCAAGTAATACATATTATATTAAATTGGATTGTTTAGTGTAGATAGTTATATCTAGGTACCTATTTACACCTATTATTCCATTATATTATACATAAAATATATAGGTACACTGATTCATTCACTGCAAATGTAACTTTGTAATCCTATATATTTATATGGGATTACAAAGAAAATTATTTATGCAGTTGGTGTATCTCGAAAACTGGACCGAAATTGCAAAATATTTTAGTTTTTCCTTGATTTATATACTAAACAATGATTGTATTCCAAAGAAGCTTCTATGTCTGCTAGAAGTGCCTTAGAGTTTTGATGATCGGTCAGTCAGTGAGTGACAAAATTAAGAAACTTTGACTAGTTATAATTCTTAAACTACTATATCAAATTTAATGAAATTTGAAATATATCGAGTCCCTACTATAATGTATGGTAGTGAAAGTTGGGTCTGGCAGAAGAAGCATGAGAATAGAATAAATGCTGTGTGTGGCAGAAGTGAACGGCAGGGTCGGAAAGGGACGCCCTAGACGAAGGTTTATGGCCAAAATCGGCGATACATTAAAAATGGGCCAGATTAGGAGTACCCTTAACCGACGAGCGTGTATGCGTAGATATATAGATGTAAAAGAGACAAGAGAGGTGTGTCAGGATCGCGCCAAATGGAAGTCCGTAGTCTCTGCCTACCCCTCTGGGTGACAGGCGTGAGTGTTATATATATATATATATATATATTATATATCGAGTTTTTACAATGCCTACTTGGTTACTGAAAATTTAGGCTTCTAGTTTTATTCACAACGAAGTTATAGGGTTTCGAAAATGGCCTGAACTGCTTCGAGAAAAGAATGGTACGGCCGTGCCGCATTTTTGCTCGACTTGGCGGGGGTACTGCCGTGCCCCCAGATTAGTCTATGGCAAGTGTGACAATGGGGCAAGTGTAACAAATGCAAATAATGCGGAATGAATACATGTTTTGGTTAAATTACATCTATTGAACAACGCAGGAACTTTTACGTTACGGACTATATATTATGTTATGTACTTAACTATAGGTATATATATGTATGTAGGTATATATACAGGGTATTTTTGGAACGCTCTCGAAAACTAAGACAGGCGACAGCACCAAGTATACTTTTGATCATGGGTCATAAATAAATTTGATCCTGATGAAAAAAAAACATATTTTTACAACGTTTTATAAGCTTTATTCACGCGTCACCATGTTAGTACAGCTAAATGAAACGATAATTTCATAAAAAAAATCATGAAAAGACTGAAACATAAAACCAGCAGTGGAAACTGAATTGATATCACCTGACTAATGGAGGTTAATGTACGCGCGAACGGTGAAAAAAGAACGCTGGCCTTGAACTTGGGCACTGAGCGATTTATCACATATTGGCCAGTATTACTGTGCCTGCATGCTATTGGTTCCCGCGCTTTGTTCGCTCCAAAAATACAGTCGCATACACAGCTTACTTTGCGACTCGCGACGATGTTTTAAAAAGGAAGGAAAAAAAATTATTTATATCTATTGTTTTATGACTAAACTAGTGAACGAAAAAGTGAATGGGGAAAATTGTGCAGTAAAGTTAAAATTGTTGAGGAAGAATACCGAAAAAATTACCATGTGATCGACCTGATGACGGAAGCTCAAGCGAAGATGAAAGTGATGATGAAGTAGCATCCAGTAACACCAACACACCATCAACATCTGGCTTCCATGTGACCCAAGACGTCATAATGGACGGCGTGTCACCCTTAGCTTAAGTTTTTTTGTTACAAACTACTTTATATTTTACGATAGAAATAACAAACAATGCTCAAGTAAACATTATCTATTTTTAATTCCCACCTCTTCCAAAGTTCTAAGTAGCTAGTAAAACACTTATTATGATTCTACAATAAAACAATTAATTACTATAATATTATAAAACAATAGCCCAATACCATGTAGTACTTTAGAACGCGACTGTACCCACACTCACTCCGCTGTCGACCTGTATCTAGCTCGGTATGAAACAATGCTACGGTCATAAGAAAAAAGGGCGCATCTAACAATTTTCGAATAAATGAGTTAAATATACCATTCGACTCATGATAAGAAGACGCATCTACTAAATTTTTTTAATATTTACATACAAATGTTTTAATTTTTAATTATTATCGTAGTAAGTCTTGTATGATATCCCCTTTAAAATCATTACTCAAGAGTTGCGGGTTGTTATTTTTTGTGTCTCACTACCAATGCTTTTCTAATATTTACTAAGAAAAAAGTAGTAAATTACTATTAGCGTCCTCTCAACTTCAAATGACCTTTCCAAAATATGTAAAAATGTTAAATGAATGGTAGTTTTGTTTTATTTATTAGGTTGGGAAGACCCAAATAGTTATATGCGTCTTTCCTTCGATGTTTTTGTGTTGCCAGGTGTATTTTTTAATCTAAGATGAAAAGGAAAATTCGTTTTATTTAAATAAATAAACAAATTTAAAAAAAAATAAGTTCGTCCTTAAAATCTTCATGTCTCTACGTATATATTTCAATATAGATACCTTTTAATATACTTTAGACACGGGGTCTGAAAGAAAAATTCATCAATTTATTTTTTATTTCCATTTTACGTTTTTGTTAGTTACTTCCTTTTTTATTATGACGGCAGAATGCCTAACCCTGTCGCCTCACGCTTGTGACGCAGTAGGTTTCAGCCTTGACCGGGTTCGTTCGTTTTAATTTTTGAGACAGTTCCGTGTTGATTTTGTACACGCGTGCGCGAGCGACAGTTCAATCGTTTTGTTTAATAAAATTACTTGTTGGATTCTTTTTTGTTTTAATAATGCCTAACGCGTACGTTTATAGTGGTTATTATACTGCCGTTGGTTATTATATCAGCAACAACGTGTGCCTGGTTCCATTGAGCACATTATCTGGACGGATGAGTCGACATTTACCAGAAACGGCCTGTGGAACCGAAGAAATACACACGTGTATTCAGAGGTTAACCCGCACGCTGTTCGACAAACCGGGCACCAAACCCGATGGTCGGTTAACGTATGGACAGGTTTATTTAAGGATCGCATACTGGGACCAGTGTTTCTGCCAGAGCGACTGAACGGACAGCGATACCTAAACTTTATAAATGAACAGTTGGTTGACATTTTAAACGACCTATCGTTGGCTGAATATCGCCGCACATAGTTCCAACATGATGGTGCCCCTCCACATTTCGTGAGGTTCGTCCGTGAGCGCCTCAATGAGCTATTTGATGATCGCTGGATCGGCAGACTAGGACCACACGCTTGCCCACCTCGCTCACCAGATCTGACTCCGTTAGACTTCTTTTTGTGGGGTATGTGAAAGAAAGGGTTTTTAATCGTGAATGTGATAGTGCTGAAGAAATGCGCCAAAGGATCGTGGATGTTTTCGAGAAACTACGTACGGACTGTGTCGAAGACCACACGATGATGCCCCGCCTGCACCCAAGTCTGCCTTGAAATGAATGGAGTACAATTTGAGCCGCATCTCATAAGACCACGGAGGATTTAGAGCAGTAAGCTGTTTCATAACTATTTTTTTTAAATATACTTAGTACTAGACTAATCTGAATAGGTACATAACTGAATACACGAGAATAATAAACATACCTACACGATGAATAAAAACGCATGACTCCAACCTTGGTTACATTTTATTTAAGTATTTCTTCATTAGCGGGGAATCGAACCAGTTATTTGGGTTATTTAACCTGTAAATTCGGATTAAAGTGGCTACGTGGAGATAAGCACAGTGGCAAAATAGTAGGTTAAGTAGATAAGTTAGGTATTTAGACACGTGTTGTAAATTATTAGGTATTGTGGGAAGGCCCGCTAGTTGCGGGCCGCGCGAATTTGTGTTCGCGCGTACATTGACCTTTATCTAGCTCAGGTCAGGTGATATCAATTCAGTCATTTCACTGCTGGTTTTATGTTTCAGTATTTTCATGATATTTTTTATGAAATTATCGTTTCATTTAGCTGTACTAACATGATGGCGCGTGAATAAAGCTAATAAAACCTTGTAAAAAGATGATTTTTTTTTTAATCAGGATCGAATTTATTTGTGACCCATGATCAAAGGTATACTTGGTGTTGTCGCCTGTCTTAGTTTTCGGGAGCGTTCCAAAAACACCCTGTATATATATATATATATATTATATATATATACCTATACCTACATACATATATATATACCTATAGTTAAGTACATAACTTAAACTATTTTATCCACACAGGTCATTTTTTTAAAACTACTCAACTGGCAAAATCTTGCGCAATTTTAAGAGGCGAAGTTTTTAAGTTTTTTGATACTTATTTTAAACAAGATACAAGGTGAGTGATAAAGAATAATATTGATATTTATAGTGTAATGTGTTTCTGTGACCTGAAATCCACCATTCCTTGAAATACGGATACAGTTACACTTACCTCACCCCTAACATCGCGGTAAGTGTGACAGAGTCACGCTTACCCCGATCATCTTGTATGAGAATATCGCAACTAGTGATGGGACAGCCATTGTTATTAACCGACTTTCAAAAAAAGAGGATGCTGTGTATCAATGTGTTTATATGCAAGTGTGACATAAATCCATTTAAAGGCACATCACTATATCGGTTAAAAACAGTCACACTTGCCCCATGTGGAGATAAATTAATTTTTAAACAAGAATGGACGTTCAAGTGGTTTTCATAGATCATAAAATACATTGACATTAGTATCATATCATCAGTTTTGACGAAAACCACAGATAATAATAAAGTAACTACAAAGAGAAGCGTACTGTCCCAGTTGCCTCATTGATGGGTAAGTGTGACAGTATTCCACCTCAATTAGTTTTAATTACCTTAAACTAGAAAATGATACTTGTAGATATTAATATGTATGATCAAACAAACAACCACTTATTAATTGATGTTAAGAAACTGAATTGTCTGAGTTAAATCCTTTCAGAGTAGCATTTAAGTGTCCATTATAGTTTTAGTTAATTTGTGTCACACTTGCCCCGGGCGACCTTATATAAAAACATTTTTCACCACAATTTAATTGCAAAATTATACTTGTCTAAGCAAACGGTTAATTAGCAAAATCAAGATTTGCTATAGGCTACTTCGTTAAACTTTTTTATTGATCTGTGTCTCATATCTCATATCGTTTCGTAGATGTCGCAAGAAGCGACAGAGGAAACTGAAAGCAGGAGATGAGCAGCAGTACCTTCCTGATAAAAACTCAAAATAATAATAATAAGCTGCAGTTGCCAACTCGTCTGCCAAGTATGGCAACTGTGGTAAAATCCACGCTGTGAGTCAACTTATATGGGAGGCCTAAGTTCAGTGGATTTTTATAGGCTGTCATGGATAGATGCTTAAGAGCTGACTTCATATGGGTCCCTACGGGTGACCATAATGAAAGATTGCACAACTTTTATGACATATTTATTATAGAGGGGCGTGTAATACAGATGATGGGCAACTAGCTACTGGCTGACTATTTTAAGTGCTAAGTAGAGAGGTAAAATATTACTTCATATATATGGTAGACAGGTACAACATTACTAAGTATACATGTGTGTGTGCGCAGCACACCTACAGATGGATGGATGCAAAACCCCTATATCATTAAATTATTACTTTTTACACAAATACTAACAAAGTACCTTCCACTTTACTGTCCACTTTTCATTTATTCATTTCAGCCTGTGAAACATCCACGACTGAACATAAAAAAGTAAAAGTAAAGTTGCAGCCTATTTACGGCCCACTGATGGGCACATGCCTCCTCTCATTTCTGAGAGGGTTTTAGGACAAGGAAATGTCCACCGCGCTGCCCCAATGCGTGTTGGCGAACTTCACATGTCTTCGAAATAATTTTTTTCCTTATTTCTCAGACATGCAGGTTTCCTCACGATGTTTCCCTTCACCGCCGAGCACGTGGTAAATCAGCACTTAAAATTGCAATTAACAATTTTATTGGTGCCGGCGGAGATCGAACCCGGGTTGTTCGAGTACTGTGAAGCTTACAGCGAGCGCTAACCATCTGAGCTACCACGGCTCTCACGACTGAACATTGGCTTTCCCAATCCATTGCCTCATAGGAAGAGGGAACGGACCATGGTTGTCACGCTTGGCAGGCAAGGTGGCAACCGAATTTTATTATTATATTGAGTAGTTAAGGAAATAGCTGTTGCCTCTTACGGTGCGTACATATTATATAACTTTACATGTTATATAACATGTTTCAGTAATGTGGCGACAGAATGTTATAAAATGTGTTACCTGTTATAACGTGACACAAATGTTATATAACTCGAGGGTATTTTCCTCTAGTCAATAAAATATGCTTGATTGGGACGAACCCAGTAGCTAAGTTTTTTTTCTTTTGTTATTTAAAAGTACAAGAGTTGCTGCAGCAGCTAGCAAAACGTATTCTCGTGTCGACATTGTGAAAAGCACTGCAGAACAGTGCAGAACGATAAACGACAATGTCATATAACATTGTTATATTGCATTGTTATTCTAATGTGTACAGTATTGTTATGTGTTGCAATGTTGCAAAAACAATGTAACATAATGTGGCTGTGTTATAAAATAAAAGTTACATTTGCCTCTCACAGGGCGAAAATGTTCTGTTAATGATATGCTAATTATATAAAACGTTATTTCATGTCTGCTTCAAGAATACAAAATCGTATACCAGCATCGATCCCTCCGGCTCGGTTGTAATTCGGTTCGAAACTTTGTATGAACGGATTATCCTCTCCTAAGACGTCGACGAGGTCATGTCTGCAAACAATGGATATCAAAATCTCTGTATTATCAACGCTGTTTCGTTCATTTTGGGAAATTCATCGGACATTTTGATTTATATCATAATCTAAAAGCTTTAATTTATATAATATGTAATCTGTAATACTGAATTAGAGTAGAGTTGTGTGAGATCAGTTTTAATTCAAATTCATTCCGGACTTTTCACGGTGTTAATATAAAATTTATTAACAACCCAACCACAGTGCCTCCTATCGGGTCCAGATTTTATAATTTTCTTGTTTGGGGTTAAACTAACAATATCGTGAAAATGAGTCTTTGAATTAATGAAGAATGAATTGTTATTGCTTATTTTTTAAACGAAAGCATAACGATTAATGGGTGTTTTTTTTTCTTAAAATAGGATAGGCCCATGATCCGTTACCGTTATAGCCTACCCGTAGACTACCTCAAAGGAGGAGTATTGCTATAGTTGCTACGCTTGGCTGGTGGTTTTTAGTTGTTCTTAGGAAGACGCTGCTGTGCATCTCCTGGTTTGTTTCCCTCGTCGCCTCTCACGACACCCACGGGACGATATGGGGTAGTGGATATTCTTGCACCACCACCACACGGTCAGGGTCAAGGTCTATTTTTAAGTAGCAGAAATTTACGGTCTTATGAAGAAGACTAAAACATGTATACATTTTTAAAATAAAGACAGTAGTGAAAAATTAAAAATATTTTATGTTAACTTTTGTTGATTACCTGAGAGTTCTGACCAAGAAAGGTAGGACACCACCAAGTCGGTCAACATTATAAAAGTCCAGTTCGCCATCAATAAACGTTTTTGGTGGTAAATATGGTGGTGCATTCCTAAGAAAGTCATAGCAATGATAAACATATAAATTAATGTAAAATAATAACAATATAATCATACAATGTAATCATAGGTACAATTTAATATATTCAACAATATTAACTTCCAATATTGAAAAAAATACAAAATTAAAAAAAACTTTAATAAAAAAAACTAATAACTTAAATTATTATACAGCCCTAGTCCTCGTAGTATCGTGCCAACAAAATTTCCATTTAATTCTCAGTATGCTGTTGTACACATTTGTGCTTTTGCGAAAAGGTTTTGGTTCTAGCAGGGTTCCAAACACAGAACCTTCGAGCTAATAGCGCAATACTGTTACTACTAACTAGTTCGTTCATTAAACTACGAATTTTAAAAGCAAATTAAATTAAAAAAATTATAGCATACAGTATTACAGATACGTACACATTTCCGAGTGGTTTCTCTACCTCCCATAATTTTAGTACAGCAGAGAGGAGCCTTGCATGGCAACACCACGAAATGGCGGGTGAGTTGCGCGAGATATTAAAAAGCCGCTACAATAGAAAACAATATTTTTTTTAAAACTTAAAACTGATTGTGCTTAAAGACATTATACTATAATAAAAAAAAAATGGTTTTTATTCACATAATAAAAAAGTAACGTGGTTAGAGCCACGTCATAGTTATATTATAGTTGCAGCATGTATGATAAATAAATAAAATAAAATAAAAAACGTTTATTTCGACCACAAGGATCATAGATGTTAGTAATAATACAAATCTTAAAACTAATGTTAGTAAATCTCTATCACATATGAAGTGACTCAATAAGCTTCATGTGCCGAACGTAAATCGCATCAGCAATAAGATCGAAGGTACACTTACATTTAACACACCAAAAGCTAACTAACTATGTTTAAGATTCGAATCCAGAGACAGCGGCGGCCTCACTACTAGGCCACGTGGTCGTTAATTTTAGCGCAAAGGCCGCGTTCCGCCGACACGCACCCGATACGCGCGTCAGCACGCGCGTCTAACTCGCTTTGAAATTTGTTGCATATAATTTGAATCTTATGACAAATCAATAAATCTGATATTGTATAACCGACCGACCACCACCAAGCCGACCCATTCGTGCTGCAGCTATAATACACTGGTATATGCTTCTGTCATTTAAGGTATATCATTTGCGGGACAAAGCGTGGTGGCAACGTAAATGAATGAATCACCACATTTCGTCCCGTTGATTTTTTTTTTTATAGAATAAGAGTGACAAACGAGCACACAGTCCACCTGATGGTAAGTGGTTGCTGTGGCCCATAGACATCTACATCTATCTTCGTTTGCGAATTAAAATGCAGATGCGTTGTCAGCCGTGAGGGCCAAGATAGAATGCCTCTTTTCCAGTAAAAAGAATCCCCGGTTCTCTACACTCACCATACGAAACACAACAATCTTAAGCTGCTATTTTACGCTGGTATTATGTGAGAGCGTGGTCCTTCCCCGGTCGAGCCGACACATTCGTGCTACAACTATATAAAATATACAAAAGTTAGGGGCATAATGTTGTTTTGTTTCGTATAAGAAATGCTGAGAGTCGTAGACCGTTTAAAACTTTAGCTAATATTTTTTTTAAATATAAATTTTAATTTTAATAAATCTCTTTAAATATAAATCAATTACTGACCGTGAGTCTCGCTAAAACTCGAAAATAGGTCGAACGATTTTGATGGAATTTTTTGTGTGCGTTTGAGTTCCTGGATATCCCTGGATGGTATAGATTCACAAATGGACCCGATAGGAGGCGCTGTTGTCGAGATCCAGAAACACCCGTGCGAAGCCGGAGAGTATCGCTAGTATGTAATATAAATTGTTCTTACCATGTCTAAAATACAGTTATCCATAATGTATCTTCGGAACTTTTCCAAGAAAATTTTTCGTGTTGACGGTACAACGTTTGAACCATCCGAATTATCCAATAATATTAGAAGAAATTCCAACTAAAAAAAGTTTGGCAAATTATTTTAAAGGTAAAGATAGCATTTGTAGAAGGTGATGGTAAATTGGTACATTCAACAGCCAACCCAACACGCGCAGTAACCCATATCAACCTACATAGACCCAAGCTAGCAACTATTAGCGGTACTTTCAAACGAAATCGCCAAATTTAAATCCCCGACTGATGAAGGAATATTCCCAGTGTGAGACAAAACCTTCAAGTATGTTGAGTCTAGGAAAACCTTTTATTTAATTTTGTTATACCTGTATTATAAAATCCGTGGTGGCTCAGATGGTTAGCGCTCGCTGTAAGTTTCACAGTAAGCGAGCAACCCGGGTTCGATCCCCGCCGGCACCGATGAAATTGTTAATTGCAATTTTAAGTGCTCATTTACTGCGTGCTCTGCGGTCAATGAAAACATCGTGAGGAAACCTGCATGTTTGAGAAATAAGAAAAAAATATTTCGGAGATATGTGAAGTTCGCCAACACGCATTGGGGCAGCGCGGTGGACATTTCCTTGTCCTAAAACCCTCTCAGAAATGAGAGGAGGCCTGTGCCCAGCAGTGGGACGTAAATAGCCTGTAACTTTTATACCTGGATTGATTGTCTTTGTAAATATGTGTGGCGTGTTTGTAATAAATGTGTCTTTCTTTCTTCCTTTCTGTCTTTTAAGGCTACATGTAAGTTCACTCATTTTTTAAAAGATGCAGTATGCAGAAAGTATTTCACAATATTATACAGAATTACAGAAAGTATAATGTAGCCCTTTTTGAGAAATAAAGAGGCTGTTGTAGAAAAAGAATTAGATGAAAATAGAAAATCAATATCATTGATCTTCTGCGTCACGTGATTTTTTTTTATAGGATTGGGTGACAAACGAGCACACAGTCCACCTGATGGTAAGTGGTTACTGTGACCCATAGACATCTACATCTATCCTCAATAAAGACTCAAGATGCAGATGCGTTGTCACCCGTGAGGACTAAGATGAAATGCCTCTTTGCCAGTAAAAAGGGTCTCCGGTTCTCTACAATCACCATACGAAACACAGCAGCATTAAGCTGCTATTTTACGCTGGTTTTCTGTGATGACCGGTATTCTGAGATAATCTCGAATTTAAACTCAACATCCCCTTTTTTTAATAAGTCTTTATTTTACTATAATTTTTACTACTATCTTAGCTGATGGTAAGTGGTGATCCAGCCGAAGGTGATAAAGCACACTGACTTAGCTTAGCAAAAACCTATTTTCTTTTGCCTTGAAGGCACTTACATTCTAAATAGATAGAAGGACAGATGCTGCCAAATTATTTTACTCCTTTGCTGTGCGCATTATAAAAGACGAAGCAAAAAACCATTTAGTCCGAATGGGTGTTAAGTCGATAACAAAGGGGTGGGGACCAGCTGAGCATCTGGTAATCTGATGATGTAATAAACAGGGAGGAATAAAGTCATATAGATCTAGACCCATAGTATAGATAATGCTGATATGGTGAAATTTAAGTGTAATTTAATACCAGTCTCACGGTGCGTATAGGCGTTATAAAACATTGTTATATAACGTGACACAAATCTTATATAACTAGAGAGTATTTTTCTCTAGTCAATAAACTAGAACGAACCCAGTATCTATGTTTTTTTTTGTTATTTAAAAGTGCAAGAGTTGCTGCAGCAGCTAGCAAAACGTCCTCTTGTATCGACGTTGTGAATAGCACTGCTTTCCGTATATACACTCTTATCTATGAGCACTGCAGAACGACAATCGACAATGTCATATAACATTGTTATAATGCATTGTTACTCTAATGTGTACAGTATTGTTATATGTTGCAATGTTGAAAAACAATGCTACATAATGTGGACGTGTTATAAAATAAAAGTTAATAATAAAATTGACGGCTCCGTGGCGCAGTGGCTTAGCAATGAGTTGCTGCGCTGGGGGCCGCGGGTTTGAATCCCGCACGGAACAAGTATTTGTATGGCCTACAAATAATTGTACCGGGTTTGGATGTTTGTCCTTGTGCAATTTGTGTTTGTAAACTGCCTCCACGATACAGGAAAAAAACCTAGTGTGGGGGTAACGTTTTCAAAAAAAAAAGCTTACACAACATGTTACTTAATCTGTACGCACCCTTACTCATATCAGTTATCTATTTACGCGAGTTCTAATACACTTTTTAACCGCTAGTCTAGTGTCCTCTGAATAAAGTAAAATATCCCAAAGAAAACATTTAAATTTAACTAACATATATCCAAATACTAACGCTACTCAATTTTAAGACGCCGTTAAGTCTTGTGCTGTTTCTACAACTTTAAGTCAAAGTAGTCATTTTCGTGACACCAAAGGCGCCAATAAGTGTCGTGGTGTCACAGACAGTCGTGAAAGTTGTAGAAACAGCACGACACTTATTGGCACCTTAATACTGCGTAGCGTTTGAGTATTTGGGCAAAAGAGAGATTAACTATAACAGGAATAAACTATTCCACGATTTAAATCTAGAGAAAAGTCGAGAGTCGTTTGTCCTTTCAATCTAAAGTATAACTACGCTTGAACTAACTATACGCGAGTAGCAGAGTCAATCGTGAACAAATATAAATCTCGGCAAATAAATATAGTTTCATTTTGGGACGATGTAAAAGGTTATATCATGTCCACTATCTTTCTTCATATTATATCAAGTTGTTTGCAAGGTTTGAAGTTTCATTCGTTGTGTTTGTATTTATAATGTACATTACTTCTTTATTATATTCTTCGATGTTTTGAAATAAAAAATAAGTGAGGGTAAACGCAAAATATAATCATATAATAATGTAATAATATATTTGATGAAATGATCTTGAAATTGACACTGACAATAATACCAGCGAAGAAAAATAATATGACGCCATGAATATACAGAGTTATTTTGTATTATCCGGCCATATTTGCAGAGAAGGTTTCATCATCATCATCATCATCATCATCATCATCATTACAGCTTTTAATAAGTCCACTGCTGAACATAGGCCTCCCCCAAGGAATGCCACAAAGCACGGTCCTGAGTCACCTGCATCCATCGACTTGCTGCAAGTCTTACCAGGTCGTCACTCCATCTCATGGAGGGTCGCCCTACACTTCGCCTACCGGTACGAGGCTGCTACTCAAGAACCTTCCTTCCACATCGGTTGTCGATTCTTCGAGCTATATGGCCCACTGCCACTTCAGCTTACTAATCCGTTGGGCTATGTCGGTTACTCTGGTTCTACTGCGGATATCCTCATTCCTAAGTTTATCATGCAGAGAAACTCCGAGCATAGCCCTCTCCATGAGCGACCTTGAGCTTCCTCATACGATCAGCAGTGAAGGACCACGTCTCAGTTCCGTAAGTCATCACTGGCAATACGCACTGGTTGTACAATTTCGTTTTAAGGTTTTGAGGTATGTCTGACGAAAAGATGTATCGTAGCTTCCCGAACGCTGCCCAGCCGAGTTGAATCCGTCGATTGACCTGTCGGTCGAAGTTGGACTTACCTAGTCGGACTATTTGTCCCAGGTAAACATACTCGTCAACAACTTCGAGCTCTACTGTACAAACACTTCAACACTTCGATTTACCGACAGTCAACTTGGCACCGCTGAATGGACTGCAGCACCGCCCAAATTTCGACGGAATCAAAGGCTTTCTCATATTTCACATACGCCAGGCATAGTGGCAAATTGTACTCCTTGGACTTCTGTACAATTTGCCGAAGGGTATGTATGTGGTCTATGGTGCTAAAGCCTTTTCGGACACCGGCTTGTACGGGAGGTTGGAAGTCGTCAAGTCTGCGTGCGAGACGATTCGTAATGGCTCTCGAAAACCGCACGTAGACGCGGCTCAGAAGGGAAATCGGTCTGTAGTTCTTAAAGAGAGCGTTGTCACCTTTCTTGAAGAACAAGACCACCGCACTTCTGCTCTACGCCTCCGGTGTAATGCCACCACGAAGGACGGAATTAAAGAGCTTCTGAAGGACTTCCAGTACCGGTTTTCCACCCGCTTTCAGAAGCTCCACCGTAATTCCATCCTCGCCTGGGGCCTTGCCGTTTTTAAGATGCTGGAGAGCCATTCTAATCTCGCTCAGACTGACGTCCGGGATATCTTCGGAATAGTGTCGGATAAGACTCGCTCTTGGATCGTTACTCACACTTGCGTGTGGCTCCAATGATGACGTGTACAGCTGTCCATAGAACCTCTCCATCTCACTCAAAATCTCAGGTGCCCCGGAAACGATGCTGCCACACTCGGTCTTCAGCTTTGACAGTTGGCTCTTTCTGGCAGACAGATCTCTGGCAAAGACTTTGGAGCCTTGGTTCCGCTCGATCGCTTCTTCAATACAAGCTGTATTGACGTTGCGTAAGTCCCGCCGCATGCATTTGGAGATCCGTCTGTTCAGTTGCCTGTATGCTGTCAAATCTGTTGAAGAATGCAGCTTCATCTCCCGTCTAACAGCCATGAGGTTAAGAGTGTGATCGGAGAGTTTTTGTGTTCTTCTTCGGCGGGTCTTGCAGAACTTTGCTCCAACCGCATGGACAGTTTCCACGAGCTTATCATTCATATCGTCCACTTCATTGGAGTCTTCTAGGCACTGAAAACGGTTTTGTAACTCGAGCTGAAAGGTTTCGGGACTTTGGAACAGAGCACGAAGGGGACGTGGCCTGGCCGTGTAGTGGCGGTCAACAATATCCACTACCCCATATCTTCCCGTGGGTGTCGTAAAAGGCGACAAAGGGAAACAGGCAGGAGATGGGCAGCAGCATCTTCCTGATAATAGCCAAAATTACATTAAAAAAACTGCGGTTGCCAACCCTCTCGCCAATCGTAGCAACTATGGCAAATACCCCCAATGATTAGAGAAGGTTTAGAATAAGTAATAATTATAGGCAAATGGTGAAGAAAATTTATTTAAAACAAATTTCAATCATTCTGTTATTTTTATCTTCTAATACAAAATGCGTGGTAATGCATTATTATAATTGATTTT